CCAAAAAAAAAAACCTAGAGAGAGCAAGGGAGGAAAAATGAAACTGGGACTCATCTGATAACATCGGACACAGAAATCATTTTCCTGCTTTTTATTGAATCACCATGAATGACAGAGTCCTTCGTGATTGAGTTTCAGGCGTACAGTGTTCAAGCAAATATTTCTTTTTTTATGTGTTCTTTTCTACTTTTATTTATGCAGCCATTCCTTTTCCTTATGGTGGTGACTACTTACATTATATATCTTGTTCTTTTGCTTCTTTTCTACCTGTTTGCGTCTCTGAATTTATGGTCTGTCTCTGGTCGAGAGCTCAGAGTTGATCCTGCTTTTCTCCCCAGTCTGCCCATCTCTGCCGTTTGAATGTGACATTTCATCTGTCTTTATTGATATGGCAGGATTTATTTGTGCCATTTTTGGTTTCTCTTTATCTGATATCCAAGAATCCATTGCTACCACTTTTTCTGTTAAATGATTTTCATATGCCTTTTAAATTTCTAGGTGGGTTTTTTTTTTCTTTTCCTTTTGGGTCACACCCGGCGATGCACAGGGGTTACTCCTGGCTCTGCACTCAGGAGTTATCCTGGCAGTGCTCAGGGGACCATATGGGATGCTGGGAATCGAACCCGGGTTGGCTGCGTGCAAGGCAAATGCCCTACCCGCTGTGCTATCTCTCCAGCCCACTAGGTGGGTTTTTTAAATGAATTTTTGAGGTAATTATTGGAGGGTTGTTTGGACCAAACCTGGTGATACTCAGGGCTACTCCTGGCTTTGTGCCCAGGGGTCAGGTAAGGGCTGGGTATTGAAGCGGAGTCAGTCACATGCAGGAAAGCATCTCAATCTTTGTACTGTCTTTCTGAGCCCTGAAGGTTATTTTCATATGGTGCTCTAGAGATTACAATAAGTACCTTTTAAGGTATCATAGTCTGCTCCAGAAAATAATCTTAAATTCAGTAAAATATCTCTAGCTATTTGCTTTATCTCTCCATTTATTTTATTTTTTTTATTTTTGGGCCACACTCAAGCGATGCTCAGGGCTTACTCCTGGCGGTGCTTGCGGGACCATATGGGATGCTGGGGGTCGAACCCGGGCCAGCTGCATTCGAGGCAAGTGCTCTCCCCTACGATTGCTCGGCCCCTCTCCATGTACTTTATATATTAAGTATACACATATTTGGCATCTATTACCATTACATTATTATTATTGGCTTTGGGGGCCATACCCCGCCAGGGCTCAGGGCTTGCTCCTGGCTCTGCACAGCAGGGGTCACTCCTGGCAGTGCTGAAGGAATTTTAAGTGGTGCCAGGGATTGAACCCTGGTCAGCGGCGTGTGAGGCAAGCACCCTACCCACTGTTACTGTCACTCCAGCCCCCGACATCTATTTATTATAAAATGAAACTGCAGGTTTCAACAATCTTTCATTTAGAGAGGAGAAATAATTCTTTTGAGTCAGGAAATGATTTTTTAAGTCCAGTCTCGTGTCAAAAGAATTTTGTGCCATGACCTCTGTTCCAGAAATCGAAAAACCACTCAGCACCAGAAGGGGTGAGTTGAACTTGGTACATTGCTACAATTTTCCCACACCAAACCTGTTCTCTCAGAGACCACCCCCAAATGACTTTCAAAAATATGCACTACTGGGGCTGGAGGGATAGCACAGCAGGTAGGGCGTTTGCCTTGCACTTGGCCGACCCGGGTTCTAATCTCAGCATCCCATAGGGTCCCCTGAGCACTGCCAGGAATGATTCCTGAGTGCAGAGCCAGGAGTAACCCCTGAGCATCGCTGGGTGTGACCCAAAAAAGCAAAAAAAAAAAAAATGCACCATTCATTTCAGGGAGGAAAAAATAAAAAGCCTACTCTGTTAACTACGAATGGAAGAATTTCTTCCCAATAAACTGGCCACAGATGTGTTGTATTTGAGCCAAGACTGTCTCACTCAAAGAGTTTATTTCCGTCATCTCGCGCACATGAGCCAGTGCGGCTGTTCATGGAACTTCCTCACACGTGTTCTCAGCACTGGCAACACACAATCCAAACATTTACTGGGGGGAGGAGAACACACCTGTTGATTCTCAAGGGTTACTCCTGGCTCTGCACTCAGGGATCATTCCTGGCGGTGCTCTGGGAACCTCTTAGGGTGCTGGGGATCGAACTTGGGGTCAGCCTGGTACATGCAAGCACCTTACCTGCTGTACTCTCCTGGCCCCTGTCAATTCAAACATTTCACGCCAAAGTGCTTAAGGTCTGCTAGCGGGAGGGATGGCAGAGTGGTTAATAATCAGAATGGAATCATCGCTAAACTATTTGGGGGAAAAAATCAATCTTCCCAGTGGCATACATCAAACTAAAAGCTAGATTTTAAAAAGCAAGATGTAATGATGAATTAGAGGCAGGAGAGATATAAGCAGTAGTTAGTAAGGCACTTGCTTTGCTCAAACCCAACTGAGGTTTGATCCACTGCACCCCATATATGGTCGCCTGAACCCTTCCAGGAGGAATCCCTGAATGTGGCCAGGTGGGGCCCCCCACCTGGGAAATCAAGACGTTTCTGTTTTGCCTCGACTGGTGCGTGTCCTTTCTTGTCTTCTTTTTGAGGGGGTCAGGGGAAGGGGTTGACCCTCTCTCGGCTGTGCTCGGAGCTTACTTCTGACCAGGCTTGGGTTCCCCTATTTGGTGCTGGGGATCGAACCCAGGTCAGCGGGTCAGCCAAGTGCTGTACCCCTATCCTATTTCTCTACCCCACCTCACCCCCACTTGGCTTCTTCCAGAATCCCGGCTCAAAGCATTGATCTCTGAGTTCAGCGTGTGTCAGGACCTTCTGGGGTACTTGCTAAGTGCAGGTCCGGGGGGCCCACGGACAGCAACCTGATGGGAGTCTGGAGTGGTCCAGAGCATCCGTTCCCTCAGTCAGAAGCCCAGAGCTCTCACCTGATGGCCACTCCTTTGGGTCACGCGGGCCTGGGGCACAGAACCCAGAATGTCCTGGGAACGGCGTCACCCCCAGGCCCTACCTATATGTCCTAGAATCCATCCCATTCCTTCGTTTATCTGTAAATTCTTCCCTATGCTCTCTTCCCCAACCAGCTAATCAGCTTTTCCCCTAATCAGACTCTGTTAACTTGTAAGGTTAGATTCCACAGAAATCTATGATTTCATATGTATGAGTGAAATAATGCCTTTCTCCTTTCCTTGTGTCTTTTGAATAGTTTACTTGATACAGTGTCCTTTTTGTATAGATACAGAAAGACAGTTAATATTATGCTTTTGTAACTTAGGATTTAGTTGGTTTTGAATATTATTCACTCCCGGGCATCTGCTTTCTCGACTTAAGCCTCAGTTGCCCTTGGTTCCTACCACCCCAAAAGCAGGGTCCCGACGAGGAACTGAACGGACCTAGGGCAAATGGTGAGCTACCCTGGCATCGAAATGGGCCAGGCCAAAGTGCCACAATTCTTAACTATAAGTTAAAAGTTTGATCATAGACAAATGCTGTCATGATCCAAAAGTAACAACGAGACGAGGACCCTGATAGGGACAGAAAAGACTATCTGGCCTGAGCACTGTAGTCTGAGATCAAGATGGCCCTAGGAGGGCAATTCTATAAGTTTAAGGTATTTCTTACTGTATCCATACAAAATGATTTATATTATATATGCTTATATGTTTGTTAGACAAGGAGAGGAGAAACACACCCAGGGGAATCCGCTGTAGGGTGGATTGATCAGATAAGGAGGATCTGTCCTGGGAGCGGATGTCCCCAGGGAAAGAATTCTACCCCTATTGATTGTGATCACGCCCATGTGTAATTGTTACCCCAACCCCTCATGCTTTGAGATTTAACTAGACTGTAAGAGAGGGCTGAGGAATCAGAATCAGAATCCAGACTCCAGAGAAGGAGGATGAAGGGGGATTGAGAAGGAGAATGAAGTAGCATGGAGGAGGAAGAAGCAGGAGAGGAGCAGAGGACAGAGACAGGTGTGGATGGAGAGAGGAATGGAATAAACTACAACTGACATCCACCAGCCTGGCCCTCGTTCCTTCCCTTGCCTGCCCATCGCCATCAACCTCCCCGGGGTGGGGGAACCAGCGTGAGACCACCAAACGCGAGCGACGGGAGAGACAGAGCCATCGCCGCTGCTGAGTTTACACATATAAATATATTTATTGACTTGGAAAAATGTTATTAACACATTGATGCCATCCCCTACCACAAGTGGCTCATTCTTGACTTAACACAAATTGCATCACTGGCATCAGTGTGTTTAAGTGGTAAGAAAAACACAAATGGGGACTAGAGCGATAGTACAGCAGGAAGGACCCTTGCCTTGCATGCAGCTGACCCTGGCTCAATCCCCGGCATCCATATGATATTCGGACCACCGCCAGGAGTGATTCCTGAGTGCAGAGCCAGGAGTAACCCCTGATCATCGCCAGGTATGACCCCTAAAGCACCCCCCCCCCCCCGCCATGTATGTTCATATACGAAAAGTATTCGAAGAAACCACACCAAAGCATGAATAGTGAGTATCACTCAACAGGAGGGTTCAGACTTTATTCTGAGCCCAATTCTAGAAGGGTGCGCCTCTAGGGCCACCAGCTACCAAACATTGCGGAAGTCAGGCCCAGTTCTGTCTAGTAGCCCCAGGATCCTTGTTTGTTTGTTTGTTTGTTTGTTTTGAGGGGCACATCCATCAGTGCTCAGGGCTTACTCCTGGCTCTGCACTCAAGAATTACTCCTGGCAAGTGCTCAGGGGACCATAGGGGATGCTGGGATGGATCGAACCTGGGTCAGCCGCGTGCAAGGCAGAAGCCCTACCCGCAGTGTTATCACTTCGCTCCGCTCCTTGCGCGAGATCCTTTTTAATGAAGCCATGTCCTTACTTACAGCTCTCCTGCGAGCGCTCTTAACTACATTTCTGGTTCTTTGGCCTCCGCGTCCCGGCCAGCTTCTTGTTTGCTTTCTGAATGAGCCTCCTGCTGACCACTGTGTTCCATTGCAGAATGCAACTGCCCTGCCAGGCACTTGGCGAAGGACAGACGTGCACTTAGAGAACCCAGAGTACCACACCAGATGGTATTTCAAGTATTTTTTAGGACAAGGTATGCCCTGAGGGTGGTGGAGAAGAAGGGATGGACAAAATGGAAGTTCGAGTTTGTGTGCTTTCTGCAACCCTCAATGTGTGAATAACCAGTGTCTTCACATCCTCAGGGTCGGGCTGCCCCAGGAGGGGCTCACTGCCTCCCTCCCTCTCTCCTTCCCTCCTTTCCTTCCCTCCTTCTTGTGTTCCTTCTTTCCTTCCCCTCCTTCCTGTCTTGCTTCCTCCTTCCTTCCTTCTTTCCTTCCTTTTTCTTCCTTCTTTCCTTTTCCTTCCTTCCTTCCTTCCTTCCTTTCTTCCTTCTTTTCCTTTTAGTTCATTCATTCACTCATCATGCCAGTTATTTTGGGTCCTGGGGACATTGTGTCAATGAGGACTTTGAGAAGTAAGGAGAATTTTCCTGGTGGAAGAGACCCTAGGAAACTTAACCAGGCGATTGTCCTTCATATGGTGGTGGGTTTTGAACATTTATTTCAAGGCAGTTGATGGAGCTGAGTGGTTCCCTGAGCTCCGGGGCTAATACAGAAGTAGAGAGATTGTCCCATAGGTTTTGGTGACAGGCATTTGTTTTTCACCCGATGTGAGTCAGGCAGACTCATGGGCAGAGGAAGGCATCCAGGCATCTCCTCCCCCGTGAGGAGATGAGCGTGGTTAGAATTCCAGCACTGCCGTTTTTAACCCGAGGACCTTACACTGATTACTCCCTCTTCCGGTTTCATTTCCGTTTCTGTAAACTGGCTTGAGCCACGCATCCCTGGAAGGTCTGAATCGAGGTTTCCATGCAGAAAACGCTAAGTCGACTTCCTGCCACACCACTGGATCTCAACTGATAGTAGTTATAGTAGTAACTATGTTACTATTTCAAGCCGCAGGGAGCTTGCAAGCAGGAGCGCATGCTAGCCCTGGGTGCGGGTGTGGAAGCGTCACCCCTGCAGGACCAGAGTCAGATTCTTTGGCTCAAATGGATGCATTCGTGGGTCAAGGGTGATGCCGGAGCTGTAGAGTGAGAGCAGTCACCAAATGGCACACCTTTTCTTTTTCTCTGTCTAAATCTGATACTTTAGGGCTGGAGCGATAATCAGCGATAATGCTTGCCTTTCTTATGGCCGACCTGGGTTCAATCCCCAAAATCCAATATGGTCCCCCGAGCACTGCCAGGAGTAATTCCTGAGTGCAGAGCCGGGAGTAATCCCTGACTATCACCAGGTGTGACCCAAAAAGACAAAAAAGAATTTTATTTTTATTTTGGGTTTATATTTATTTTGGGTTTTTTTTGGGGGGGTGCTTTTTGGGTCACACCCAGTGGTGTGCTCAGGAGTTACTCCTGGGTCTGCACTCTGGAATTATACCTGATGGTCCTCAGGGGACCATATGGGAGACCAGGGATCGAACCTGGCTCAGCAGTTGTGCAAGGCAAACACCCAATCCACCGAACTATCACTCTGGCTCCAAAATAATTTTTTGTTAGTCTTTTTTGTTTTGTTTTGTTTTTGGGGTCACACCCAGCAATGCTCAAGGGTTACTCCTGGCTCTGCACTCAGCGATTACTCCTGGCGGTGCTTGGGGGACCATCTGGGATGCTGAAAATCGAACCTGGGCCGGCCGGGTGCAAGGCAAACGCCCTACCCACTGTACTATTGCTCCAGCCCAAAATAATTTTTTTTTTAGTCTGATACTTTATTTTAAGGAGTTCACTTATTTGACTAGGTGTCTACTTTTTTTTTTTTTTAAGAAATAGGTAGAGAAGTTGTCAGCTTCCAAAATGCCTGAAAGCCTAATGCCCAGAGCTTCGATGGCATTGGACACCACCAATGCCATTAGTAAGGATGCACCCACCAGAGAAACCCCAACATAGGGCAGGCTCCAGGATTCAGGGGCTCAGTAGTGTCTTCAAGACAAGCCCTCCTCAAGGTCCCAGGAAGGTTGCAGCAGTTCTAGCCATCCCATCTAGATCCCACCATGTTCGAAGGTTTAAGTCCTTCATCCTGATCCTTTTTCCCGGGGATCCTGGCACATTTCTCCTGATGTCGCCTAGGTTGGCAGTGGGTCACATGTTCATTCCTGAGCCAGTCTCTGGGAGGGGAACCGTGGTGCACAGTTGGTATGGAGAGATCCACATGTGCCCTGGGTTGGGTGGGGATCGTCAGAAGGGCTGGACCCCACCGGAAGTGCCCACTGCCACTGTTGTACCCCCAGGTGCATTTTCACTGTCCTGACCCTCTTTTTTTTCCAGTCCATCAGAATTACATTGGGAACGATGCAGAGAAGAGCCCCTTCTTCTTATCTGTGACTCTTTCGGACCAAAACAATCAGCGCGTCCCTCAATACCGGGCAATTCTCTGGAGGAAGACGGTAAGGAACCCGCTGACTCTGGAGTTCCACGTGTGTGGGATGAGAAGAAAAGTAGGGTGTGGTAGGAGCTGGGCGAGAAGGTCGGATTCGGACCCTCTCTTAGAGGTAGGGCGAGGGGTCAGAGGCCAGGCAGGGACTCACACGAGGAAGGCCGAGGCCCCCAAAAAGAACCCAGCTTCTGGGACTGGAGTGAAAGTACAGCGGGTAGGGTGCTTGCCTTGCACGTGTCCGACCAATCCCTGGCATCCCATATGGTCTCCCAAGCACCACCAGGAGTGATTCCTGAGTGCAGAGCCAGGAGTAACCTCTGAGCATTGCTGGGTGTGAAGGAGGGAGGGAGAGAGAGAGAGAGAGAGAGAGAGAGAGAGAGAGAGAGAGAGAGAGAGAGAGAGAGAGAGAGAAAGAATCCAGCTTTCATTGGATGGGTTAGGAGGGATTTGAAAATGTCTTTTAATGTTACACTGTCCCTCTAGATCTGTAAATCTTTACCGATTTCTGCAGTGCAAACTATAGGAAAACAAATGTCAACCAAAATCCGATGGGTGTGACCCAAAAAGATCCAAAAAAATAAAATTGAATCTTGCCTTTTGCTACATTGTGGATGGATCTAGAGGATGTCATGCTTTGAGGGGGGGGTTGTTTGGCATTTCTTTGTTGGGGGTGGGGGGACACCCCCAGCAGTGCTCAGGTGTTACTCCTGGCTCTGCACTCAGAGATCACTCCTGGCGGTGCTCGGAGGAAACATATGGGATGCCAGGGATTGAACCCAGGTGAGTCGTGTGCAAGGGAAATAAATGCCCTACCCCCTAGGTTATCTCTCCTCCCCCCCCCCCACCTTTATCTGGCTTTATTTTGTTTTGTTTGAGGACCACACTCAGCAGTGCTCAGCGCTTACTCTTGACTCTGTACTCAGAGATCACTCCTGGCAGGGTTTAGGGGCCATATAGGTTCTGGGGGTCCAACCTGGGTCAGCAGCTTGCAAGGAAACTGCTAGACTGTCCCTCTGCGCCCCCAGTTTTTGTTTTCTTTTTATTATTTTTTTTTTTTTAATGAACCACCATGAGATGCACAGTACCAAAGCTGTTCATGACTAGGTTTCAGTCAAACAATGTTCCAACACCAGTCCTTTCACCAGTGTTTATTTTTCCACCACTAATGTCCCCAGTTCCCCACCAAACCCTGCCCTGCCCCACCCCAGCCTGCCTCTAGGGCGGGCTTTTTCTCCTTTCTCTCTCTTTGTGTCCTTTTTGGGCATCATGGTTTGCAATACAGGTACTGAGAGGTTATCATGTCTGTTCCTTTGCCTATTCAGCCCACATTTCTTATCCAGAGTGATGATTTCCAACTATTGTTGTCATAGTGGTCCATTCTCTGTCCTAACTGCCTTCTCCCCCAGCACCTGAGGCAGGCTTCCAACCATGGGCCCATCGTCCGGGCCCATAGTTTTACTCCCCTTGAATATTAATTTCATACTATGTTGTTTGTTTTGTATCTCGCAAGCGAGTGCAATCATTCCATGTCTTCCCCCTCTCCTTCTGACTCATTTCACTCAGCATGACTCCATATCCATGTGTTTATAAGCAAATTTCATAACTTGGTTTTTCCTGGCGGCTGCATAGTATTCCATTATGTAGACGTGCCATCATTTCTTTATCCAGTCGTCCATTCTCAGACACTTGAATTGTTTCCAGATTCTGGCTATTGTGAATAGTCCTGCGATGAACATACAAGTGCAGATGGCTTTTCTGCAATGTGTTTTTGGGCCCCCGGGGCATATTCCCAGAAGTGGCATTGCTGAGTCATATGGAAACTCAATTTTCTAGCATTTTCAGGAATGCCTATATTGTTTTCCCAGAAGGCTGGACCAGTTGGCATTTCCACCAACAAGGAAGGAGAGTCCCTTTCTCCCCATACCCATGCCAGTACTAGTTGTTCTCGTTCTTTTTGATGTGTGCCAGTCTCTGTGGTGTGAGATGGTATCTCATTGTTGTTTTGATTTGCATCTCCCTGATGATCAGCAATATAGAGCATTTTTTCATGTACCTTTTGGCCATTTGAATTTCTTCTTTTTTGTGGGGGGTCACAACCGGCAATGCACAGGGGTTACTCCTGGTTCTGCACTCAGAAATCACTCCTGGCGGTTCTCAGGGGACCATAGGGGATGCTGGGAATTGAACCTAGGTTGGCTGCGTGCAAGGCAAACGCCCTACCCGCTGTGCTATCTCTCCAGCCCCTGAATTTCTTCTTTGAGTAAATTTCTGTTCATTTTTCTCCCCACTTTTTGATAGTTTGGATGTTTTTTTCTTGTGAAGTTCTACCGGTGTCGTATATATCATGAATATTAACCCCTTATCAGGTGGGTATTGGGTAAATAGCTTTTCCCATTCCGTAAACTGTCTTATATCTTAGTCACTGTTTCTTTCGAAGTGCAGAAGCTTCTTGTTTAATGTAACCTCATTTATCTTTGCTTCCACTTGCTTGGTCAGTGGAGTTTCATCTTTGAAGATGTCTTTGGCTTCAGTGTCATGGAGGGTTCTGCTTACATTTACTTTATGGATTCATGACTGATAATGATAACCCATCTTGCTCTGGCTTTTGTGCCTGGCATTAGGACGAGATCTGAGTTCAGTGTTTTGCATGCAGCTGCCAGTGTTCTCAGCACCACTCGTTGAAGAGCTGTTCCTTGTTTCACTTCATATTTTCTGCTCCTTTATTAAAGATTAAGTGACCATATACTTGAGGTTCTGTGTCAGGATATTCAACTCTATTCCACTGGTCTGCAGATCTGTCTTTATTCCAATACCATGCTGTTTTAATTATTACCGCTTTGTAGTTCAGTTTGAAGTTGGGAAGGTGATGCCTCCCATCTTCTTTTTTCCAAGGATTGCTTTAGCTCTTCGTGGGAGGGGGGTTATTATTCCATATGAATTTCAGGGGTGTTTGATCTGTTTCTTTGAAAAATAGCATGGGTATACTTATAGGGACCACATTGAATCCCTGTAATGCTTTGGGGAATATTGCCATTTCAACAATGTTAATCCTCCCAATCCATGAACAGGGAATGTGTTTCCATTTCCTCTTCTTTTCTTTTTTTTTTCCTTAAAAGTAGTGCCTTGTAGTTTCTTTGTATAGGTCCTTCATCTCTTTAGTTAAGCTGATTCAGAGGTATTTGATTATCTGAAGCACGATTGTGGATGGGATTGTTTTTTTTTTAAATATCTCAATAGCACAGCAGGTAAGGCGTTTGCCTTGCACATGGCCGACATGGCCGACCTGGGTTCGATTCCTCCACCCCTCTCAGAGAGCCCGGCAAGCTACCGAGAGTATCTCGCCCACACGGCAAAGCCTGGCAAGCTACCCGTGACATATCATATTCAATATGCCAAAAACAGTAACAAGTCTCACAATTTGTTGTGAGACGTTCCTGGTGCCCACTCGAGCAAATTGATGAACAGGAGGACAGTGCTACAGTGCTCTTTCATTATTTGTATATACAAAAATCATGAGCTTTGGGATATTGATTTTGTAACCTGTGAGTTTACTATACTGCCAGTTTACTAGACAAATCTATTATTTCTAAAAGCTTTTCATAGTCTTTAGGATTTTCTAAGGATAGTACCATTTCATCTGAAAATGGCGGAAGGTTGACTTCTCCCTGTTCTATCTGGATGCCCTTGATATCTTTTTCTTTCCTAACTGCTTTGGCAAGTACTTTCAGTACTGTATTGAATAGAAGTGGCAAAAGTGGACAACCTTGTCTTGTGCCTGATCTTAGAGGGACGCTTTTAGTTTTTCCCCACTGAGAATAATGTTTGCTGTGGGCTTATGGTAGATGGTTTTGACTATATTGAGGTGAGTTCCTTCGACTCCCATTTTATTGAAGTTTTTATCATGAATGGGTACTGGATCTTGTCAAACGCTTTCTCTGTATCTATTGATATGATCATATGGTTTTTTAACTTTTATTAATATAATGTATTATATTGATTGACGTGCAAATGTTAAACCATCCTTGCATCCCTGGGATGACTCCTACTTGGTCATGGTGTATCATTGGTTTTTTTTTTTGATGAGTTGTTGGATTCTATTTGCTAATATTTTATTGAGGATCTTTGCATATTGGCCTGTAATTCTATTTTTTGTGTGGTGTTTCTTTTTTTCAATTTTTTAAATTTTATTCGGGGGAGGCCGTCCTCTTCGACTGAGTGCGCAGCTTCAGGAGGGACACACATGGAGCGATGAGGGAGGAAGAGGATACCCACCTAGCCAGCCAGATCAGTCGAATCAACCCTGGCGATCAATGGGGTGACAGATGTCGCAGCCAGATCTCCCTCACAGTTTATTTTATAAAGTAGTTCACAATATTTGATTGCATTTAATATTCGAACACCAATCCCGCCACCATTACACCTTCCCACCATCATATTTTGGATGTTTCCATCCTGAACCCCAACCCCTGCCCCAAAGAAGAACCGAAATAATTTAATTGGTATTGTTTGTTATGAAAAACCGCTGAAAAGGCTACAAAAAAGTTTCCTTAGAGGAAAGAGTGTGAAGACTGTTGTATTTCACCCAGGGTTTTTTTTCTAAGTGATCACTAACATGTTGTTAAAGGTTGAGCGTTGTGTGCAAATGTGTGTGTGTGTGTGTGTGTGTAAAAATTCCCTCTATTTTGTGGTGTTTCTGTCTGCTTTTGGGATCAGGGAGATATGTGCCTCATAGAAACTGTTTGGGAGAGTTTCTGTTTCTTCAATTTCCTGGAAAAGGTTGAAAAAGATTGGCAGTAGGTCCCCTTTAAAGGTTTGAAAGAATTCAGTAGTGAATCCATCTGTGGCTGGGCTTTTGTTTGGGGGGAGACTTTTGATCACCATTTCAATTTCCTCTGTGGTGATAGGTCTGTTCAGGTATTTATAGGAATCCAGAAATTTATTCATTTCTTCAAGGTTCTCTTGTTTTGTGGCATAAAGATTCTCAAAATAATCTCTGATAATCCTTTGAATTTCTCTGGTTCCTGTTGTTATGTCCTCCCTTTTATTTCTAATTTGGTTTATTAGGGTTTTTTCTTTGTTTGTGAGTTTTACTAGTGATTTATTCATCTTGTTTATTTTCTCAAAGAACCAGCACCTGGTTTCATTGATCTTTTGGATTGTTCTAGGATTCCAGCTTGTTGATTTCTGCTCTATGTTTCATATTTTCTTTCTCCTACCTGGTTTGGGATCCTTCTGTTGGTCATTTTCCAAGATCTTAAGCTGTGAAGTTAAGTATTTATGTGGCAGGTCTCCGGTTTTTATATAACTGTCGCACTGTAGCACTGTCGTCCCGATGTTCATCGATTTGCTTGAGTGGGCACCAGTAACATCTCCATTGTGAGTCTTGTTGTTACTGTTTTTGGCATAGCGAATACACCACGGAGAGCTTGCCAGACTCTGTCATGCGGGCGGGATACTCTCAATAGCTTGCCAGGCTCTCCAAGAGGGGCGGAGGAATCAAACCCGGGTCAGCTGCATGTAAAGCAAATGCCCTACCCGCTGTGCTATCACTCCAGCCTTTATATAACACCTCTTTTGTTGTTGTTGTTGTTGTTGTTGTTGTGAGTTTATTTGAGGAGCCACATCCAGCAGTTTTTTATTTTAACTTTTTTCTAGTTCTTGGGGTTTTTTTGTGTCTTTTGAGGGTGGGTCATTTGGACCCCACTTGGCAGTTCTCAGGGCTTACTCCTGGCTCTTGGCTCAGGCATCTCTCCTGGAAGGGACCCGGGGATGCTAAGAATGCTAGGCATCACAGCCCTGTTGGCAGGGTACAAGCACCCTCCGTGCAGTGCTCTCTCCAGCCCTGCATTTAAAACGTGACAGTTGATGTCATCATCTCTTTGGCTAGCTGCTGTGCAGTGTGAAGACTCTGGGGTTATTAATCCGCGTGGTCTCCCGTTTGGAGAGTATGCACAGCCCCTCACTGGGCGTTTGGCGTTCCATCTTTCATTCATCCCCTCCCATTAACAGCCGTGCCCTCTGCGAACAGATGCAGGTGCTGCAGGGGGAGGACACGGGCTCTGGTTAAAGCCAGAACCGGACAAGTCAGTTCTGAATGCCGTTTGGTTGCCTTAGATTCTCAGCTGTCATGGTCAGACTTTTCTTCCGCTGTTCTAGGAGGCCAGACCGATTCTTGGCTCAGAGACCAAACCCTGCCTGCTCTCCACACTCCCCGGGGCCACGTCCACACCTCAGAGGCCCCTGGGACCCCAGACAGGAAACCCATCAGCTGTGATTGAAGTGTAAAGCTGAGAGCAGCCTGGGGAATGAAGAGGGACGGTCTGTTCAGCTGGAGTGAGGTTTTGTCCAACACAGTTTTCTGGGGCCAGAGCAATAGTACAGCAGGCAGAGCACTCACCTCGCACTCCGGTTAGATCCCCGGAACCCTACATGGTCTCCTGAGCACCCCCAGGAATGCTCCCTGAGCACCACTGGGTATGACCCCCAAACAAACAAAATAGAACGATCTTTTTGCTCTCTGCCCCTTGAGAGACGCCACAGCGGGGCCTGGAACTTCCCTTGGGGACAGGTCGGCGTGATCAGAGCTGGGCCTGCCGCCTTCTCACTGCCAGCTTTTGACTTTGCAGGGGACCCAGAAAATATGCCTTCCCTACAGCCCCACCAAGACGCTGTCGGTGAAATCCATCCTGAGGTGAGTACCTGCGCCTCTGGCCGCGTTCTCTTCCACCTGTGGGCGGCCGCAGATGTTCTGCTGAGTCCTTGGCATGTGAGCCTTCATACAGCCTCCTCCACACCCCCCACCCCCACACACACCCCATCCAATGGCTGAGGAAACGGAGGCCGGAAGAGAAGATCCAAGTCACGCACCAGGGTGGTGTGACACTGAGGGGACAGTCCCCTTAGCCTCCTCCTCTCGTGGGGGTTGCCTGCTGCTTTTTTCTCATCTGCAGGCAGATACTTTGGGTTTTGTTTTGTTTTGTTTTGTTTCAATTGAAAAATGCTTTTCTTTTCGGGGGCTGGAGCAGTAGCACAGCGGGTAGGGCGGTTTGCCTTGCACGTGGCTTACCCGGGTTCGATCCCCAGCATCCCATATGGTTCTCCCGAGCACCGCCAGGAGGAATTCCTGAGTGCATGAGCCAGGAGTAAACCCTGTGCATTGCCGGCTGTGACCCAAAAAGAAAAAAAAAAATCTTTTTTTCCTTTCACTGTTCTGTGTTGAAAGAGAAACCGTGGGTATCAGCAGATGCTGTTTCGAGGCAGCAGGTGGGCTTCCCGCCAGATGGGAGGTTCAGTGAGCTGACCCCCAGGATCACCACCACCCACCCAGCGCCATGGCTCCGTCTCCATGCGCCAAGAGGCATCTGTCAGTCCGGCGCATGCTGAGAGCCCCGTGAAACGTCTCCCTATAAGCCTCACCCCGACTCCACCCCGCCCAGAAGCTCCTCAGTTGGCACATGGGCCTCAGCTAGGAGGGGTGCCGGTCACAGGGGCATCGAGATAAGCAAGCCACCATTTGGCGGGGGGGGATGTTGTTGGGGGCAACACTCACAGCCGTGATTGGACCCACACGCTGGGGTCCGGCAGGGGGACCCAGGCCATACTAGAGTCTGAATCCAGAGTGTCGGCCCTGCCAGCCTGTGCTCGGTCCTTGGGTTCCCCAGGTCAGTGCTCAGAGCCCACGGTGTGTTTGGCTTGTCTCCCGAATGCAGCCCATCCCTCTGCCCGTGACCGCTGAGCTGAGAAAGCACCTGCAGAAGTCGAGACTGTGGGGGAACAAGGCATGAGCCTTGCGCCCCGACAAGACCGGTTCAGTCCCCGCAGACTCTGAGCACCACCAGGGATCACTCTGAGCACAGAGCCAGGAATAGCCCCGGATGCTGCCGGCTGCGGGCCCCAAGCAAAAAAAGGATGGAAATGGAAAAATTTGACCAGTTACTTACTGCCAATAGAAGAAATGATGTTTTTCTTTCTGCATATTCACAAACTTGAAAACTTCAAAGGAAATGAAAATTGAAATGCAATGAAATTGGACCAGAGTTCAAATCTTGGCTCTCCTACCAGTCTGGTTTTCCTTTAACTAGCACTTTAATATTTTCTTTGTTCGTTTGTTTGTTTGTTTGTTTGTTATTTTTGGGCCCCACGCAGCCAGTAGTGCTCAGGGCTTACTCCTGGCTCTGTGCTCAGGGATCGTTCTTGGATTCTTTGGCAGACTTGGGAAACTACATGAAGTGACAGGAATGAAACCCGGGTTGGCCACTTGCAAGGCAAACTCCCTACCCAGAGTACTATGGCATCGGCCCCTAGTTCTTTAATTCCCGAGCCTCGATGTCCTCACCTATAAAATGGGGCTAAAACATCACTTGGCCACAGAAACTAGCAGAGGGCCCAATGCAAGTTCTCAGCAGGTTGCTGGCCTGTAGTGGGTCTCTGAGATTCTCACCATTGCTCTTCTCGCCTTCACTGTGGTCCTGGGGGATTCTGCCTCCTGGGGCCTGGGAAATACTTTGTTCACTTTTCTTACTTGTCCCTGAAGGAGCTTAAACTCAAGAGAATGAACGTGGGGCTGGAGAGATAATACTGCATGTAAGGCCTTGCAGGCAGCCAACCTAAGTTTGATCCCCCACACCATATCTGTTTCCCTGAGCACTGCCAAGCATTTCCCCTGAGCACAGGACCAAGAGTAAGCCCTGAGCATCCCAAAAAAAAAACAAAAATAAACAAAAAGAAAAGAAATATTGCTTGTACAAAGTAAAACATAAGGGGCTGAAAGATAGTTCCAAGGGCCAAGCACAGTCAAGAGGCCTGGCCTGAAGCCCAACCCCTGCCCCACCCCACCCCCACCATGCCAAATGGCCCCCTGAACCCAGAGCCAGGAGTAACTTCAGCCTGCTGGGGATAACCCAAACCCTCCCCCCAGAAAACACACCCAATGTTTTGAAAAGTTAGAACATGAAAAATGAAAGTAACTGAAACAGCAGTCTTGTTGAGGACGGCCTTTTGCCCTGAGAAGCAGAGAAGTTACCAGAAGCAGAAGGGAAAGTCAAGTCCTCATCAGTTTGTGGTGGATCAGTTGCTGGGTGAGATGTTGCTCTCTCAGTGAATCAGAGTCGGTGTGGGAGAGGGAGTCAGGGCCTCCTGGGGCTCCTTCTTCTCCTGTGGGACCTGGCAGGGAAGGTTCTTTTCTTTTTTTTGTTTGATTGTTTGTTTTGGGGCCAAATTTAGTAATCCTCAGGAATTACTCCTGGCTCTTCACTCAGGAATTCCTTCTGGTGGTGCTGGGGACCCTGTGGGATGCAGGGGATTAAACCTGGGTAGGCAGGGCAAGGCCAGCACCCTCCCTACTGTACCGTCGCTCTGGGCCTCAGGGAATTTTCAATAGTAAAAGTAAAATGGGCTGTGATGAGCGTCTCCAGGTGGCTCACCCATGCCCTGCTCTCGTGGGTGAGTCCTCTGGGGACCAGGCTCTGCAGTGGCTTTTCTTTCTTTCTTTTTTTTTTTTTTGCGGGGGGGGGGGGCGCTTTTTGGGTCACACCCGGCGATGCTTAGGGATTCCTCCCGGCTCTGCACTCAGGAATCACTCCTGGCAGTGCTCTGGGGACCATATGGGATGCCGGGGATCGAACCCGGATCGGCTGCATGCAGGGCAAACGCTGTACCCGCTGTGCTATCGCTCCAGCCCCGTGGCTCCACCGCTTTTTCCTGAAGCAAATGTTTGGCTTCGCTGGGCTCCAAGACTTGCTCTTGCCGCTGCATGTTTCCACCCACATGACTGTCTGTCCCTTCTGTTTCAGCGCCATGAATCTGGACAAATTTGAGAAAGGCCCCCGGGAAATCTTTCATCCCGAGATACAAAAGGTAACAGAGCCTTTGTGCTTTGGAACTTGAGAGGTGTGGGTGTCTGTGCTGAGTGCCCCCCACAAACACCCGTGCTTGGCAGCCAGAGAGCTGGACCAGAGTCACCACCGAGTTGCTATGGAGCGTGGCAAACCCTCCCCCCAACTCCCTGCTTGTCCGAGGCAGAGGCTGGAATCAGGGGATGTGGGAAGTTCTCAGGGATGCTGAGAACCACTGAACTTCTGATCCTGGATCCGGGGGCCTGAAGAACGGACACTACAAGCATCCTGAAGGCCAGGAAGCCAGCCCGTGTATGTGTGGTGTAGAATTGTGACAATGAAAGGTTTGGCTTTTTCCCCCTTAAGTGATAAGATCTTAATGTGTCTCTTGGCCACCAAAGGTGGGCATCCTTGGGGATCCAGTTTCTTCCCAGTGTAGGGCCCAAGAGAAAGTCCTTGCATGCGTCCCGTTCCCACACCATACGGTCCCCCGAGCATTGCTGGGTGTGGCCCTAGAGACCCCTGAGCAGCGCCAGCATGGCCCTGGTGGTCCGCAGCAGCGCAGAACCTAGGACACCACAGTCTGGTTAGCCAAAGGATTGTAGAGATGGGCTCCAGCCCCCAAGAGCACCACTTGGGATAGACCCCCAAAGGGAACACAGGATAAAAAAAAAAATTAGGGTCATAATCGAGGTAAAGGTTTCTTAGGAAAATGTGAGACCAACTTCTGTCTCACAGTTGAAGTCCGTTTAACTTTGAAACATCAACCCTCAGTCCTCACCACTGATGCGTCGGTTCTGTGTCAACGTGGATGCGCAGAGCTAGGCGTGCCAAGGAGGGCTCCCCAAGGCGCCTCGAGCAGGGTGGTGCTTTGAGGGAGCCTGTCCCTCACGAGGGGGTTCGCCTGCTTGCCCTGAGGTGAAGCAGATGACTTCCAGCTTAACTTCCCTCTTAGCACTCCCATAAATTTCGCTTTTAATATAATGTTTAAATGTCATGTGTACCCTGCCTCAGTTTCAGAAGGAAACAAAGGAAGAGAAAGTGAGTGTGTGTGTCTGTGTGTGTGTGTGTGTTTGTGTCTGGATTTTAAGCAAGCTCAGGCCAGACTGTGCTCTAAGGTAATTCTCCATAGCAGACTTTAAAGTGCATTCGAATTGTTTGCACACAGTCTCCAGCTGAACTTTATTTTTCCCTTTGTACCATTTCATCATTTGTAATCCTTTTCCTGCTTGAGCCAAATGCGCCCCACAGGACTCTCCAAAGTCACCAGATTCTTTCCACAAGCCTCTAGAACTAGGATTTTTTTAAGCACTTCCAGGGAATCCTCCTCCACCACCACCACCACCACCACCACTACCACCCCCCCCAAAAAATAAATAAACAAACAAACTGGTGTCCACATTAGTAAAATGAAGCTTGGCTTTTCAGAGTCCAGGTAACATGGTCATCTCCGCCCCGGTGAAACCTGGCCTTAACATGTTCCCTTTGTTTGACAGGACTTGCTGGTTCTGGAGGAGCAAGAGGTAAGTGTTTTGGAGAGTACTGGGGTGCTGCCCTGCTCTGCCCGCGGGCATCTCCTGTGCTCAGACCTGCCCGCTGGGCACAAAGTCTGTCTCTGCCTCTGGTAACTTCTGCTGTGGTGTCTGGGTTTCATTCCCACAGTGGATATTCGTTTTGTAAGCAGCTAACGGTGAAGGTAGAAAAATAATCAGGTTCCTTAAATCTGTTTGAACAAATGCCAGTTCTCCCCTCGGGATCAGAGCCAGCAAGAGCGTTTGCTTCTCATTCATTTAGAGAAAGGGGGTTGCAATAGGACAGTCGCCCTCCCTCTACAGAACATCAGTCGGAAAACACATGCATTTTTCTGGTGTTTCGAGTCCCCACTGCCTGCCTTTAAAAAACTGGGACTTTGGGGCTGGAGTGATAGCATAGCAGGTAGGGCATTTGCCTTGCACGCGACCGACCCGAGTTTGATTCCCAGCATTCCATATGGTCCCCTGAGCACTGCCAGGAGTAATTTCTGAGTGCAGAGCCAGGAGTGACCCCTGAGCATAGCCGGGTGTGACCCAAAAAGAAAAAAAAAAGGGGGGGGGGGACTGTCTGAGTTATAACCGAAGTAAGGAGCTTTCCAAACTAACACCCCCAGGCTCCTGAGTAAATACTTTTTTTATTTTTTGCCACCGCGCCTCTCGGTGAACGGCTGTGCCATTCTGCTGTTCAGGTCCAACCTGGAAAAAGCTGTTGCGGCACTATTAGATCACCCACCATTCCTGTTGATGATGCTTTGAAGTATCTCCCCCAGGGATGGAGCGATAGTACCATGGGTCTTGCATGCCGCCAACCCAGGTTCGATCCCCGGCATCTCGTATGGTCCCTTGAACCTGCCAGGAGTGATTCCTAAGTGCAGAGCCAGGAGTAACCCCTGAACATCGCCGGGCATGGCCCCCAAAAAACAAAAACAATATCTCCCCCAGGAACCGGAGAGATGCAGTAGGTAGGGCACTTGCCTTGCACGCAGACGATCCAGGTTCAATCCCTTGCACCCCATCGGGTCCCCTGAGCCCTGCCAGGTGTGACCCTGGTGCAAAGCCAGGAGTAAGTCCTAAGTACCACCGGGTATTATTCCAAAACATACCCAGTGTAGCCCCAAACCAAAAAATAAAGTGTTTAGTGGGACCAGAGAGATACCACAATGAGTAAGGCACTGACTTACACAGGTCAACACCAGTTCTTTTTTTTTTTCCCCCGGTTTGATTTTATTTTAATGAAGTAGTTCACAGTAATTTACCATGTCCAGTATTCCAACACCAGCCCCACCATAATACTTTCCTGCCACCTTTACTTACCCACCCCACCCCCCAAGACTGTCATGTGAAGTGGAGTATAAAAACTCGCACGACAGCTTTTGCGGCTGCGCACGCCAGGGATTCTGAGATTCTGGACCAGGGTAATACAACTTGTGGCTCTCTTGTGAGAGGTATTTGTCAGTCTCTGGGTCATGGCCGTTAATGAGTTCAAACGGCAACGGAGGTGGTTTGTGGGTGTGGCCGCCAGGCTCCGGGAAGACTGGGATATGGGTGGAGGTCGCCCATTCCTGACTCCTGGAGAAGCCTGGTGGGAGGTCACAAAAGCCACATGCCTGGGGTTTTCAGCAGATTCATTCCCGTGCCCGTAGGTCTTGACTTGAGCCTGTGGAGATCAGCCGTGAGTGTGGTGACTATTGGCTTCTGGGGGCTTTTGGCTGCCTACCCCCCTTCCCAAATCCAGTTTGAACCCCAGCATCACATAGGGTCCTCTGAGCACCTGAGCAAAGAGCCAGGAGTGAGCCCCGAGCACTGCCCATTGTGACTCCAAAACAAAAGGAAAACAAAATTCTGAGGCTCCCAAACATATCTGACTTCCCACCCCATTTTCAGAAAAAAAGATCAATTACTACTCCCTGGAACTCTCTTTACACACCACTCCCCTGGAGGGGGCCAGTGTCCCCTTTGGGGGATGGTTTCATCCACTTTGGGAAACACTGCCAAGACCCCTGCATCTGGAGCCGAGTCCTCCCAGATCCAGCGCTCCTGCTGCTTGACTTTCTTCCTTGACCTCTGACCTCCGACCCAGCAGCCAAGACCTGTGCTCCCTCTTTACCTTCTGCTTCCTGAAGAATCCCCAGCTGGTGTTGGATCAGTCTTGGCAAGTGTGATTCTCTACCGTCCTCAAGATTATTCTGTTACGAATTACTTTGGGCATGTCCCTCCCCCCCCCCCCCAATAAAAGCATAGAGAATAATAATATAGTGAAGGCTTATAAGCCCTCTCGCTTAAGAAAATAAAACACGGAACTGGAGCAATAGCACAGAGGGGAGGGTGTTTGCCTTGCACGCGGCCAACCCAGGTTCGATTCCCGGCATCCCATATTGGTCCCCTGTGCACTGCCAGGAGTGATTCCTGAGTGCAGAGCCAGGAGTAACCCCTGAGCATTGCCAGGTGTGATCCAAGAAACAAAACAACAAAAAGAAAACACAACAAAACGAGACCTGTCAAGTTGAGCCATGGTCACGTGCCCCCCCCCATTCCCCATCTCCCAGTTAGACCCCGGAGTCTGGCATTTGGGGTTTTGCCTTAACGCCGTGTCCCGTCAACCCAGAGGACTGGCAGACAGAGCACTTCAGTGAGGTCCTTCTTGATTGTTCTTGCTCCCCATGTCTGGCAGGTGACTCCTTGGGATTAAAAGTCTTTAGAAATTGAGGCAAATGAGTTCTTAGAACAAATTGCTCGCAGCTTTCACTGCTGATACTGAGCCACTGTTCCAGAAAGTGAGCTGAGGGCACATTGCCTTAGGCTCTGAGCTCGGTGCTTTTCTCTGCCTGCGGGGCTAGAGCTGCTGTGAGCTGGTGTCAGTCCCCTCGAGTGCCCAAGGCCATTTATTAGGAGCAGGATTTTGCTGTGACCTTCCAGTCAGTCCACGGTGGCCTGCAGCACCGTTAGTCTTGAAATCAGAATGAACTCCCACTGGTACGAGTGTCGAAGCCCGTTTTGGTGTGTGTTGGGTAAGCCCGGAAATCCTGGAGGGATGGTCACTGCTGATACTGGGACCAAGGGGAAGAAACAACTCCCCAAACAGTCCCTCTGCCACTGCCACTCTGCCCGGTTAACCTGCAGCGAATCACAAAACTGCATTTGCCGCGGGTGAGAGTGAGTCTAACACTCGCTCTTGTCTTACTGGCAGGGCTCCGTGAATTTCAAGTTTGGGGTGCTTTTTGCCAAAGACGGGCAGCTCACCGATGATGAGATGTTCAGCAATGGTGAGTGTGGGGGCCCGCCACCCCCCAGACCTCACCTCTGCAGGATCCAAACCCCTCCCGCCCTCCAGCAAGCCATGCGGAACTGCCCCGAGGTGGGGAGGGGCTTTGGTCCAAAGAAACGGCTGGAGGGCTTGAGAGATAGCACACGGCCTATCCAGGTTCGATTCCCGGCATCCCATAGGGTCCCCTGAGCACCATCAGGGAGTAACTCCTGAGTGTTCATGAGCCAGGAGTAACCCCTGTGCATCACCGGGTGTGACCCAATAAGCAAAAAAAAAAAAAAAAAAGGCTGGTCTTCCTGTGAAATCTAGGGGAAGTTAGGGTGCGTGTCAGCAGGGCCACTGTCACCCGGCTTCACTCAGTGATGGTGACCGTCCCAGCCACTTGGCAGCCAGAGGTGTTGTCCAGTGGGGCAGTGGGGAAAGTGTCTGGGGCTTGGGCCTCAGGCCCTGCAGTGGGCAAGCTCCTCTGCACGCTGTGTGACCCGGAGAATCTTTTCCCAGGAAGACCTGTTCTTTACTAAGGAGCAGGAATGGTGTTTGCATTTTGCATAAGGTGCCCTGGCCTGCAGCTCTGGCCAGGGCGCAGAGCCAGAGCTTCTGACAGTAATTTTGCCTGTCTCGGGATTCCCCTGCCAGGGGCCTGACACAGACAAGGCATGGCTCCCCCCAAGGGCCCTCCGCAAAGCACCCTGAACTCACCCCGGCAGGCAGGGTTGGCGCCCCTGCCCCCACCCCCACGTTCATCCCTCGATTCTTCCTACAGAAATCGGAAGCGACGCTTTCCAAAAGTTCTTACATCTCCTGGGTGACACGATCACTCTAAAGGGCTGGACAGGCTACCGCGGCGGTCTGGACACCAAAAGTAAGTCTCGCCCCCCAGGGGGGTGGAGTGGGGAGGGGAGGGCTGGTCTGGAGGCACAAAGAGAAGAGGGCCGTGAGATCTGGGTCAGAGTGCCCACTCGCCAACCCTCGACCCGGGTTGGATCTCCCGCATCCCATATGGTCCCACGAGCACTAGCAGGAGTAATTCCTGGTTCTTAGGGGTAGCCTGTGATCATCGCCAGGGTGTGACCAAAAAAATGCTGACGAGAACTGGGATCCTGTCTGCCTCGTTTCCAAGAGAGTTTTGCGGGTCCATGCAGCCAGCCCGGCCAACCCGGGTTCAATTCCTCCACCCCTCTTGGATAGCCCGGCAAGCTACCGAGAGTATCTCGCCCGCACGGCAGAGCCTGGCAAGCTCCCCGTGACATATTCGATATGCCAAACACAGTAACAAGTCTCACGATGGAGACGTTACTGGGCCCGCTCAAGCAAATCGATGAGCAATGGGAGGACAGTGCTAAGTGCAATGCTTCTGTTGATGTTCGGGCAAGTCTTCTGCATGTAAAGTCTATCCTGTGTGACCGGCAGCCGCTAGAAGACAAAGAATGGCATGTTCTCTTTGGTTTTTGTCCAAACTTCCTGTCGCCTCCTCCTCTCCGAGGAAGGGCGTGAGTTGGCCACATAGTTTGCCAGGACAGGTGGGCGACGCCTCTCCCTGCGCCCGGCCCCCCTCAGTTGGAGCATGATCCCCCTCGGATGGATGTTCCAGAACAGTCTTCCAGCAGTGCGCGGTGCAAGCCCCTACCTGGCCCGCCCGGTCCCCGCCCACGATGCGTCTCTCGTTCTCCAGATGCCACCACAGGGACCCACTCAGTTTACACCGTGTTCCAGGGCCACGAGATCATGTTCCACGTCTCCACCATGTTGCCATACTCCAAAGAGAACAAACAGCAGGTACGTGTGCCCCCTCCCCCGCCCTGGGGGACCCAGCGAGTCCTGAGACGGGGGTCTGAACGTGGAGACAGTGGGCAGGTCCGAGAGGTTGCAGCACGCTAGACCTGCGTGCCCGCTCAGGCGCAGTGGGGCCGTCTGTGCATGAACTCTCAGCCAGGCTGGGGAGGAGCCGTCTGCATGTTGGTGTCCCCTGAGAGAGGAAGGTGGCCCCGGGCCCGTGTGCACGTGTGTGTGGGTCGGCGCAGGTGCGAGTGGGGACCAGACTCCCCGAGACTGCACCCCTAGCTGTGCCCTTTCCTTGGTCGAGCCTCGTGAGTGTCTCGTGTCTTGTCAGAACGACACTGCCTGGGCCCGAAGGCAGGAGCTCAGACACTGGGGCTGTGGGGGACCGAGAGTCTTCCGGTCCCCGTGGGAGCATCTGTGTGGGATCTGCCTTCTGGGGAGCAGCTGGAGAACCACTGCCTCCAGGACAAGCAGCTCTGGGGTGGCAGCAGAGAGGCCTCCTGGGCCCGGGATCACCGCCCTGATCCCTTCCACGTCCCTGACCACTCCTGTGCGGAGTTCCAGGCACACAGGAAGCACATGACACTGAAGACACCCTGTGAGAGAAGCTCCAAGGCTTTTTTTGAGCACCTAAGTGTTTGTTATTTTTTTTACTTTTTGGGTCACACCTGGTGGTGCTCAGGGGTTCCTCCTGACTCTGGAATTACTCCTGATGGTGCTCAGGGGACCATATGGGATGCTGGGAATTGAACCCGGGCCAGCCGCATGCAAGGCAAACCCCCTCCCCACTGTACTATGACTCCAGCCCCGAGCACCCAAACTTCTTATTTCAGGAAGACCCCGCAGCCTGAAAGGGCCCAGAACTCGTCATGGGCTCCAGCGTGGGGCTGCATGAGGACAGAGGGTGGTCTGGGGACACGGCGGCGAGGGGAGCCTGTGGCTGTCTCGCAGGCAGCAGAAATCACTGGTTTGAAGCTTGTTCTGGCTCTTGAAGCCGAACTCTGGGGAAGGGCAGCTGCGGGATGTGCCGGCCCGGGGAGAGGGCACAGGAAGTGGGTCAGCCCAAGGTGCAAGAGACAGGAGCACCTCCCTGGCCCAAAAGCCAAAATAAAATATTGGCCGAAGTGTACCTGTTCGAGCCTAGGGAGAACACTGCAGGTGATGCTCTTGCCTTGCATGCGGCCAACCTAGTTCACATCCCTGGCACCCTGTATGGTCCCTCGAGCCCTGCCAGGAGTGATCCTCAAGTGCAGAGACCAGGGTCAGCCCTGAGCACCGTAGGGCGGAGCCCATAAGCCAGAAAAGAAAGCCAAGGGTCCCTGCTGGTACTTGTTTGAGCCCCACCCAGGGGGGTTTGATGCAATAATCCTTGTCCCCTTGCTTGAGGGACGTCCTCCTGGCCAGGAGATGGAGTGAGGGTGGAGTGGCCAGGACCGTGAGGGGCGACAGGAGGGGAGGAGGCGTCTGTGCAGGGTGGGGTGGGGGGTAGGTCACTGAGACCAGTCTGGGAGAGGAGGGACCCCCGCTTCCCGGTGCAGGGGCATTGGGTGGTGGGCTCTCACGCTGTGACTTGCCAGCTGGGAGGGACCTTCTTGGAGACGAGCTCTGTGCTTTCATGCAGGTGGAAAGGAAGCGCCACATTGGGAACGACATCGTGACCATCGTGTTCCAGGAGGGGCCGGAGCCTTCCCCCGCCTTCAAGCCTTCCATGATCCGCTCCCACTTCACACGTATCCTGGGCCCGTGGGGACCCTGCCCCGGCTTAGTCCACCCTCACTCACCCCACCCCCACCCTGCCCCCAGCCGCCGTCCGATCTAAAAGGACCCTCCAAGGACCCACAGTTTGTCATGGGCTTGGTTTACAGTCCGGGTTCCTAGATCCCTCCCCATGACCCCTACTGTTGTTCTTTTTTTCCTCCCCTCTTCCTTGTTGGACTTGTGTGTGGATACTCGACGAGTTGTGAAATACCTTCCCATTCCTTAGAGGGCTCCTGGAGGAAGGGAACCCTCCCAGCTGTAAGAGATGAATGAAAGGCAGGGATGAGAGGGGGCGTGGGCCTATACTTGCATGATGATGGTTTTGCTCAAGAATGCCTTGCTTCATTCCCTGGGAGGTAGGACTCCTGTCTGCCCTTTCTGCCTCCATTTTTTTTTTAATTGAATCACCATGAGATACAGTTATAAGCTTTCATGTTTGAGTTTCAATCATACAGTGATCAAACACCCATTCCTCCACCAGTGCACATTCTCCACCACCAGTGTCCCCAGTATACCTCCCCTTTCCAACCCTCCCCCTGCCTCCATGGCAGAAAATTTTCCCCATTACTCTCTCTCTACTTAAGAGCATTATGGTTTGCAACACAGATACTGAGAGGTTGTCACATTTGGTCCTTTATCTACTTTCAGCACACATCTCCCATCCCGAACGATCCCTCCAAAACAAAACAAAACAAAACAAAAACAAACAAGGGGCTGGAGCAGTAGCACAGCAGGTAGGGCATTGGCCTTGCACGCAGCCGACCTGGGTTCAATTCCCAGCATCCCATATGGTCCCCCGAGCACCGCCAGGAGTAATTCCTGAGTGCATGAGCCAGGAGTAACCCCTGTGCATCGCCAGGTGTGACCCAAAAAGAAAAAAAAAAAAAGATCCCTCCAGCCCTCTTTGTCTTAGTGATCCCTTCTCTATCCCAGCTGCCTTCACCTTCTCCCCCAGCTCATAAGACAGGCTGCCAACTATGGGCAGTATTCCTGGCCCTTGTGTCTACTGTCCTTGGGGGTCAGTCTCATATTATGTTATTTCATACTCCACAAATGTGTTCCTGCCTCGCTCTTGTAGGACAGGCAGGATGCAGACGGGAAGGGCGGGGGGGGGGGGGGGGCTTCGTTTTGTTTCCCCCCAGTGATTGAGAAGTCATTGTGATTCTGAGAATTTCTTTTTTTTTTTTGTTCTTTGTTTTCGTTTGGGGCTACATCTGGTGATGCTTAGGGGTGACTCCTGGTTCTGCACTCAGGAACCACTCCCGGCAGTGCTCAAGGGACTCTATGGGGTGCCGCAGATCAAACCCAGGTCAGCCGTGTGCAAGGCAGGTGCCCGACCTGCTGTGCTATCTCTGGCCAACTCTGAGGGTTTCTTATAGTCATAAGTTTCAGATTTGGGGCACGGCCCCTTTACTTCTGGGAAGGGACATGAGCATTCAAGTGCCAGTTTTTCTACACAGACTCTAGAAAGGACCCCTTTGGGGACACTGATGTTGCGTTAGCTAAGAAACCAAGCTGGATGCGGGTAGCAGACTCAAACTCATCAGCCTGGCAGCAGGCAGAGCAGGTTCTTGTCAGAGAGAGCCCCCAGCTGGCTTGGGTGGTGTGGGTTTGCTCTGTCCCAACTAGACGAAGAGAGAAGGAAGGCATACAGAAGAATCATTTCATTTTTTTGTTTTGTTTTGTTTTGTTTTGTTTTTTGGTTTTGGGGTCACACCTGGCGATGCATAGGGGTTACAGCTCTTCACTCAGGAATTACTCCTGGCCATGCTTGGGGGACCATATGGGATGCTGGAAATCGAACCCCGATCGACTGCGTGCAAGACAAACGCCTTACCCATTGTGCTATCACTCCAGCCCCTCATTTCATTGTTTTTCTTTTCAAAATGGGTGAGATGGAATCTGACTCATTCCTGTTGGGGTCTGGTTTGCATTTCCCAGCCAGACAGTCGCTCCTCGTTGCTCTGAGCTCCTTGGCTCTGTAAGTGCCCAGGTTGCCAGCTGTGAGCAGCTGGTCGTGGGTCACTTTCCTTGACCGTCACCACAGATATTTTTGCCTTAGTGAGGTATGATCAGCAAAATGACAATTACAGGTAGGTAATTTCCCCTCCATTGCTTGTTTCCTTTTGCATTTGGCACCTATGTTATTAAGACTTTGGCATGTCCTCCCCTTCTAGAACTTTCTTAAAGACCACCAACTCTTGGGACCGGAGCGATAGTCCAGCGGGGAGGGTGTTTGCCTTGCACGTGGGCAACCCAGGTTCAATCCCCAGCATCCCTTAGGGTCCCCCAAGGAATGCCAGAGGTAATTCCTGAGTGCAGAACCAGGAGCAACCACCAACTCTTGGGGTGAAAGTGTGTCCCTGATGTTGCACTGAGCAATGGACATGAGGTTTGGGGATTAGTTTGGAATTGTATTGTTCTTCTTCACAAGGGGGATAGATGTGATCAGGTGGGTCTCCCCTTTCATCCTTGCTCATGTTTCCCCCCCACCCCCATTCTCAAACCTCCTACAACTGCCAGTAAAAAGATTGCAAAGAGCAGAAACTCAGCCAGGCCCATGGGTGGCCATCCTGGCTAGGTCACGTAATAATTTTAGGGTTTTGCTAAAAAAGAATTTCCCTTCCAGGACCTCGGGCCTAATCTGTTGGGCGAATGTGATGTTGCTTCTTTGGTGGGGTTAGAATGGATGATTGGTGGAGGCCCCGGCCGCATTCCTGGCATGCCTGCCCCTAGCAGTGTGGCCTCAATGATGGAGGGACCAGGAAATCTGAGCCTCTGGCCTCCACCTCCGGGGGCTGCAGGGTGGCGAGGCTCTGGCAACCCAGAGGGAACATGAACCCCCTAACACATCCCCGAGGCAGCTGCGCCCCATTCAGAGCCAACCTTGGGTGCCCTTGGACGAAAGGCTAGTACAGCCATCTTTTTTTTTTCTTTTTTCTTTTTTTTTTGAGATTTCACACCTGGCGATGCACAGGAGTTACTCCTGGCTCTGCACTCAGGAATTTATCCTGGTGGTGCTCAGGGGACCCTATGGGCTGCTGGGAATCGAACCTGGGTCGGCCGCGTGCAAGGCAAATGCCCTACCCACTGCACTGTAGCTTCAGCCCCAGTCATGGCTGTCTTGTCTCCACCTAGGCTGAAAATCTTCTCTGAAGAGAGCGTGCCCCTCTTCGGCCCGCCCTTGCCATCTCCGCCGGTGTTTACAGACCACCAGGAATTCAGGGACTTTTTGCTAGTGAAACGTGAGTTTCTGCTTCGGAAATGCTCCCGCTATTTTTCTCCATCGTCATCCCCCTCCGGAACTGCAGGAGTCCCGGGCGCTTCCCGTTCAGCTCCTTCTCAGGAAGGCTGTCTTGTTTCCCCGTGGTGGGCTGGGGCTTCTCCTGTGAGCCCACCTACCCTTACCCTACCCTGCCCACCGGCCTTGAAGTGTGTCACCCTCTGGCTGTTTCCCGAGGCCTGGCATTTACCTTTTTGCCCCTCATTCCGTATGGCCCTTGTGAGTCTCTGTTGGCTCAGGGTGCTTTTGTTAGAGAGGGGGGTATGGTGACATCCTAAGGGCTAAGGAGGGTTGTGGGGACGTGGGGGGTGTGGTGTGAATGACAGCTGGCTTGCACTCTCTGGTTTAGTCCCACTGGTAATGCCCGAAGGCTTAGCCCTGACAGGAGCCCCGCCCTTCCCAGAGCATCCCTTGGAAAAGTAAAGGCCTTCACTGGTGTGTCCTCTACCTACCTGGAGTCTGTAGGTCCGGCCCTAAGCACCATCATTAGGAGCAGTCAGTACTGCAGGCCACTGCTGTGAGCTGGTGTGATCTCTTCCTCTCAAGGACAGGGCAGAGCTCACAGACTCAGGTGCTAGGGAGGTTGTCATAGATTTAATCTCACGAGCCGAGAGATAGTGCAGCGGGTGTGGCACTGCTTTGCATGTGGCAGACTCAGGCTCGAGCCCTTCAGCGCCCATGTGGTCCCCTGAGCCCCATCAGGAGTGATCCCCAGCTACAGAAAGAGTCAGGAGTAAGCCCTGAGTACAGCCAGGTATGTCTCCCTTCCCTGCTCCCCCCGCCCCCCAAAACAAAATCCACATATCTTTAATCTTATTGAATAGCATTCTGGTGTTTTGGCCCCTTGTTTGACAGAAGGGTGGATGGATGGATGGATGGACAGACAGACGGATGGATGGATGAGTACAAAGAGATGAATGGTAATGAATAAATGGGTGTGTGGATAGATGGGAGGTTGGGTGGATGGGAGGGTGGGTGGATGGATGGGAGGGTGGATGGATGGATGGGTGGATGGATGGATGGATGGATGGGTGGGTGGATGGATGGATGGGTGGATGGATGGATGGGTGGGTGGATGGGTGGATGGGAGGATGGGTGGATTGATGGGAGGGTGGATGGATGGATGAATGGATGGATGGATGGATGGGTGGATGGATGGATGGATGGGAGGGTGGGTGGATGGATGGATGATGGATGGGTGGATGGGTGGATAGGAGGGTGGATGGGTGGATAGGTGGATAGATGAATAAATGGAAGGGTAGATGGGTATATGGATGGGTGGTAGATGGATGAATGGTAAGGTGGATGGGTGGGTGGATGGATGAATGGGAGGGTGGATGGATGGATGATGGATGGGTGGATGGGAGGGTGGATGGTGGGTGACTAGATGAGTAGATGGATGAATGGTTTGGTGGGTGATGGGTGAATGCATGGGTGTGTGTATGCACAGGTGAGTGAATTGGTGATTGAGTGGATAGGTAGATAAATGGGTGGAATAATGGACGGGGCCCATTAAAGTCTTTAAGTTATTAGACAGGCCCTGAGCTCAGGAAGCTCCAGTGCAAGAGGAAAGATAAGAACAGACGTGCCCCTGGGCTGTAGGATGAGCTTGCGCAGAGAAATGAAGAATTTTGAACTTCCTTCCATGAGGGACGGGAGCCAATAGGGATGCCAGAGTTGGGGGTGGGGAACATTTCCTGAGGTCTCCACCCAGAGGTCTGTTAGCATTTGTTGTTCACTTGGTAACTTGATTTGTTTCAGTAATTAATGGTGAAAAAGCCACTCTGGAAACCCCAACCTTTGCCCAGAAGCGTCGGCGGACACTGGACATGCTGATTCGCTCTTTGCACCAGGACCTGATGCCAGACTTGCATAAGGTAACCGGGTCCCGTCCCGGGCCTCGGGCCTCCTCAGGGGGCAGGTTAGGACAGCCAGAGTCACCGTGATTCTTGCTGTCACGCGTCCTGTGGTCACCCTGGGCCGCCTTCCCCTCCCTGTTGCCACGCAAAGGAGGGATGGTGCCCGTCCATGGGCAGGAACGGGACTGGCCTGCAGCCGCGGTCTGTGGAGGAGGGTGAGGTCAGGACCTGAGAGTCAGTCAGGGGACCCAGGAGCACTGGAGAGGCCGTTTGTGGAGTGAATGACCTTGGTGGCTGTGCAGCTTCTCGGGCCCCACAGCAGTGGACAGGCAGAGGGGCTCGGGGCCAGCTCACCCCATCCTGAGGCACTGAAACAAGCGTCCTCAGGTCCCAGCCACGGTGCTTCCCAGGCTGCAGTTGGCCCTCACTGAGGCCAGCGGCCAGCTCAGGGAGTCCACGTGCACAGGGGTCTCTGGAGGCCCCCAAGTCTGTGTAAGCTCCCCAGAGGTGGCCTCAGCACAGGAAGCACCCCCAGGTGTACGGAGAAAGCCCCTTCAGAGCGGGAGAGATGCCCCCGGAAACCAAGCCCCACAGTCTGCAGCCGCCCACATCTAGAAGCAGCTTTGCGGGTTGGCTTTGCGGGTCCGGGGGACGAGGGTGACCTCCCCTTAGCACTGACCAGCACAGCATCCTCGAAGTCCGTCTCCTGCTGGGGGCACCTCCCTCCTCTCTGCCAGGGACATCCCTGGGCCTCAGCCAGCGCATCGCTGCCTGGAGTGACATTCCCCAACCTCACGGAAGCCAGCAAGGTTCACCCTGCTCAGTGCTCTAAACCCACATCCCCCAAAGGGCATCATGGGCCAGTCATGACACGGCACCAGCAGGCAAGGGACCTTGTAAGTCACATCCCCCAATCGAACAGAGTAGCGATCGCCCAGTTAAGACCAGTCAGATGTGTGTGCCCAGTTCCCCGATCTAGTCCAGATGAGCAGTGCTGGCAGTGACTGAGAGGGTACAAAGTGCCCTGCCCGCAGCCCCTTGAGTTATGCTCCTGACACACCCAGGTGACAGATATCCACCACCCAGAGACACTGGGACTCAGAAAAGTACCTGGAGGGCCACAGCGGTGCCCAACTCCAGGGGCTCCGGTTCACAGAGAATTCAGGGTCCCGGGGGGCGTCCCTCTGAGATTGCCCACCTAGAGCCGTGAGATCAGGAACCCGGGTCGCAGTAGGAGGCGGGGGGGGCAGCTCAGACTGTCAAAGTCGGGGCTCCCAGCCCTGCACCCCCTCACAGCCGTGCCTCCACGGTGCCAGGAGAGCGGACATGCGCAGACGTCCTTTGGGCGTGGGTCTGTCCAGGGGACGAGGGTGGCCTCCCCTCAGCAGAGATGAAGCAGAGCTGCGCCTGGACCCCTCCCTTGTCTTCTGTCTCCAGAACATGCTGAACCGGCGGTCCTTCAGCGACGTCCTGCCCGAGTCCCCCAAGTCAGCACGGAAGAAAGAAGAGGCCCGCCAGGCAGAGTTCGTCAGAGTGGGCCAGGTGGGTTTACGCAGGACCTTTCTTTTTTTTTTCTTCTTTTTTTCTGCTCTTTGTGTCACACCCAGTGATGCTCAGGGGTTACTCCTGGCTCTGCACTCAGAAATTACTCCTGGCGGGGGACCATATGGGATGCCAGGGACTGAACCCTGGTCAGCTATTGCACGGTCACGGTCCTCCCGTTATTCCTCGATTTGCTAGAGCGGGCCCAGTAACGTCTCCATCATGAGACTTGTTGTTACTGTGTTTGGAATATCGAATACGTCGCAGGTAGCTTGCCAGGCTTTGCCGTGCGGGCGAGATACTCCCGGGCTCTCCGAGAGGGGCGGAGGAATCGAACTCGGGTTGACCATATTGGCCGCTTGCAAGGCAAATGCCTTATGCACTGTGCTATCGCTCCAGCCCCTATGCTGGGACCTTTCTTGGGCAATAAATGTGAATCCCTGATCGGGACGGCATGAAGGTGCTGGCCTTGTGCAAGGCCAACCTGGATTCATCCCCGGCACCCCATACGGTCCCCTGAGCCCCACTGTGGCCCATCAAAAACCTAAACAAAACCAAAAAAGTCGTGTGTCCCATCAGACAAGTGTGGACCTTCCTGTCAGAGCCTCCTGCCATTTTCCTCACGCCAGTGAGGCCCCCACAGGGGACTTTTAGTGACCTCACAGGGACATGGCATGGGGGTAGTTCTCTAACCTGTGAGAGAGGAAACTGCTGACCGGAAGAAGAACTTCCCTGGACAGCCCCACTCTTGGGTGTCCACACCACTTACAGCCTGCTTGGGGGGCATTTCTGTGGTGGGGATCCCCCACTAGGAACATCACGAACACACGTCTTGGGGGGCGCGGAGAGTCAGAGCTTCAGTCCTCACCTTCCAGAATAGGCAGGGGAGGAAGCTGACCCTTCAGCCCGAGATCACTCCCATCCCGTCAGAGTCACAGAAGGGAACGACAGTCCTCGCGGCTGCTTTCTGAGGGCCGTCTGCTGACAGCCTTTAGTGAGGCCTCTCCTCTCTCAGGCCCTGAAGCTGAAGTCCATCGTCAGAGGGGACGCACCGTCGAACCTGGCCGCCTCTGGCGTCTGTAAAAGAGAGGTGAGTGGGCGAGAGTTGCCCTGGCTCTGCCCTCCGTGAGGGTCCTTAGGATGTGTGGTGGAAGGGAGGGCTGTGGACGGGGGCGTCCTCCAGGGACGCCCCTTCTGGAGCTGGGGAGACCCCATGAGAGCCAACACTGACTGCGGCCCCTGGGGCTTCCTGCATGCGCATGGCATCCACACCTGATACCCGCACCCAACCTGGCCCTGCCCCCAGCCATGGCACCCCACCCAGACTCTCGGGCATATATACTTCCAATGTCGACGGAGCACCCAGGCCAGGACAGGCCCTGGGGGTGGACGCACCTCGCCAGAGCTCAGCGCTACCCGGCCCAAGTGCCTCTACAGTGTTAGGACCTGGCCACTTGTGTGGCCCCGGGCTGAGTTGTTTTCTAACCAGCAGCCAAAGTCCGGACTTGTATATAAATTAACGCGAACAGTCCTGCTGTTGTGAACTACTGTGAATTCTCCAGAAATCGGCCCCAGTTGCTCCAGCTTCCAGCTGGTAGCATGTTTGCCTAGAAAATATGCCCTGTGCTTCGATCCACCCAAGGGACTTTATTACCCTAGAGAAAGAGGTTGTGGGGGTGTTCGCTCTTTTCCTATTGCACCCATATTTAAAAGGTGAATTTTTTTTCCTCTTTTAAGGAGGGTAACTGGGGGTTCATAGAAGTGGTTTCCATGGTAGAGCACCCACCTTGCATGCACTTGGCCCTGGGTTTCATTTCTAGCACCATATGATCCCCCCCCCAACTCGGCCTCCTGGAGTAGCCCTGGTGACCCCCTGCACCCCCGGAAGTAGCCCTTCCAAGAAAAGAGAAGGGCGGAGAACTGGTAGCCTGGTGGGTAGCTGCGGTACTGTGACTATCACAATAGATAAGAATGATAGTATCCAACACGGGGGACAGGGAACACAGCAGGCAACCAGGCAGCCCGCCTGGCACCGGCGTGGTGGGGGCCGCCCCCGGGGGGCACTCACTTCCCGTTGCCTTGCAGCCTTGGGAACCTCAATGCTTCTGCAGCGACTTCCCCCACGAGGCCGTGTGCGCCGACCCCTGGGGCTCTGCCCTGCTGGTCTCCACGGACGCGGGTGTCCTGCTAGTGGACGGTCAGTGAGTAGCCTTGTCTGTGTGACTATTGTGGTTCTAAGGTCAACCCGGGGAGAATGTGGGGTCAGTGGCAAGGCCAGCCCAGTTTGCGGCCTAGTTCCTGAGCTAACCTGGCTTTCCCCAGGAAGAGAAGGGAAGTTTTCGGAACTAGCCAAGATGTGCCCTCCCAGGGCTGGAGTGATAGCACAGCAGGTAGGGTGTTTGCCTTGCAGGCGGCCGACCCAGGTTCCATCCCCGGCATCCCATAAGGTCCCCTAAGCACTGCCAGGAGTAATTCCTGAGTGCAGAGCCAGGCGTCAGCCCTGAGCATCGCTGGGTGTAACACACACATACACACACATACATACACACAAAAAGCAAAAACAAACACTAACAAAAAGAAAGATGTGGACTCCTAATTATCATTATCTCTCATCAGTCTGAGGGACGCGTGGAAAGAATCTGTATTTCCACCCATGCCCGCCATGAGTCCAGCATTTGGCTGAAATCTACAGTTCTCTCTGTCTCTCTCCAAACCACATGACCCAGATGGCCGTGTTTCCTGGATACAGAAACAGAATGCTATTTATTGAACACAAGCCGCTTTCTGCCTCTGTAAACCAAAGCCGGGTAACTCGGCCTTCCTGGGGACCATCCACCCCGCCTGCCGTTGGACAGGATGAGCAGGAGGGCTGGTGAGCTGGTAGCCAGCCCTCCTCTGGTTAACACAGTGACTTTGCCTCAGTTCCCGTGAGCACTGTGCGCACCGACCAAACACCCTCCCCCTGCTTACGACCTCTACTCCCTCCTACGCCCCTTTCTCAACACAGTTTATGGACCAGACTTTTGTTTGTTTGTTTGTATTTTATTTTGGGCTGGAGCAATAGCACAGTGGGTAGGGCATTTGCCTTGCACGCAGCCAGCCCGGCCGAGCCAGGTTCAATTCCTCCGCCCCTCTCGAGAGCCCGGCAAGCTACCGAGAGTATCTTACCCGCACGGCAAAGCCTGGCAAGCCACCCGTGACGTATTCAATATGCCAAACACGGTAACAACAAGTCTCACAATGAAGACGTTACTGGGTTCGCTCGAGCAAATCGATTAACAACTGGAAGACAGTGCTACAGTATTTTATTTTGCTATGGGGCCGTATCCAGCAATGCTCAGAGATTTCTCCTGGTGCTTTGCCCGGGATCACCCTGGTGGAACTCCAGGGACCTTATGTGGTTCCAGGGCTTGAACCCGGATCAGCTGTGTGCAAGGCCAAGACCCTGCCTGCTGCACTATCCAGCCTTATTTCTATTTCCATAAAATCCAAACTGTGAGGGTTGGGAGATGGCCCAAAGACTAGAGCACTGGCCTGGCACCTGGGAGGCTGAGTTCAATCCCCAGCAATTCAGGGGATAACTCTGGTGACCCCCAGAATGACTTAAGCCAAGCAGGACTCGTGCCACTAGTGCTGGGAATAGCCGCCAGGCCCTCCGCTGGGGACCATCTCCCACCCTCCGCACAAATACTAAACTCAGGGCAAAACCACCAGGTCCATTTCTGAATGTTATATGGTGATGTCAGATGTAAAGATGGTGGGTTTCCAGAACCTTCCTGCCCCCACATTTGTTATTTTTTCGTTGCTTTTTTTTTTCTTTTTGGGTCACACCCAGTGATGCTCAGGGTTGACTCCTGGCTCTGCACTCAGGAATTACTCCTGGCGGTGCTTGGGGACCATATGGGGTGCCGGGATTGAACCCCCCCCCACCATTTGTAAGGCAAATGCCCTACCCACTATACTATTGCTCCAGCCCTGTGGCCCCCACATTTGAAGCCAGCCCTCGCCCAAGGTGGCAGAGTGAGCCCATCCTCAGCTCAGAGGGATCCTTGGGACCAGACTCTGGTTCCCTCCCCCAGGCATGAGGCTGGAGAAGAACCCTCTGGCCTGTCTTTGTAGTTTTGCACTTAGCCATCATTCCCTGGTTAATTCTTTGTTTAGCCCTGTTTTGTCTGGGCCTAATCAGATTAGAGATCATTTCCCCGAGTGACTCTCCATTTCCCTTCTGGCTGGCCTCTGCTCTGCGCCATTAGTCTCTGCTTAATCTCATTAGCCTTCTCGGGCCCCCTGAGAGCAGCTCCTTTCAAGGTCACCTTTTAAAAGTCAGAGGTCCTGTGTATTTAAGCCTGGAAAGATAAGTGCAGCCACCAGGGGCCATTGATTTGGGGTTTTGCACTGGCAGAAAAGTCAGTTCCTGGGGGCTGGAGCGATAGCACAGCGGGTAGGGCGTTTGCCTTACACGCAGCTGACCTGGGTTCAATTCCCAGCATCCCATATGGTCTCCTGAGCACCGCCAGGGGTGATTCCTGAGTGCAGAGTCAGGAGTAACCCCTGTGCAGCTCTGGGTGTGACCCAAAAAGAAAAAAAAAAAAGAGGAAAGTCAGTTCCAAAAGATCATGTCTCCAGAAGCCAGTTCCAAGGAGAGAACAGTTGGGAGACAGTGGCGAGGCCCGGCTGCCCTTCCTATTCCTGGGGAGCCTGTACGGCCCCTGCAAGGCCTGGTCTGTGGGTTTCAGTCCTGCCTCACAGGCTCCCTGGGACATTTCCTTCAGGTTGTGGGGCGTGGGGTGGGAGCCCAGAGACAGGACTGCGATAAAAGTCACGCCCCATCACTGCCATCCGGCTCATCTTTCCACCACAAAAAAAGAATTTTCCAGAGAAGGGGCTGGAGTGATAGCACAGCAGGGAGGGCATTTGCCTTGCATGTGACCAACCTGGGTTCGATCCCCAGCATCCCATATGGTCCCCCGAGCACCACCAAGAGTAATTCCTGAGTGCAGAGCCAGGAGTAACCCCTAAGCACCACTGGTTGTGACCCAAAAAGAAAAAAAAAAAAAAGAAAAAGAATTTTCCAGAGAAGATAGTGACGTGAATGATTTTATCTGGAAAACATGAGTGAGGAGAGCAGAGACGAGACATCCGAAAGGAAAAGAAAGCTGCGCCCTCCAGGAGGGGACACTGTGGAGGGCTGTGGTGACCCCAGGGAGAGGCACCCCAGCTATTTTGTTATAGCGTGGCCCCTTCACCCCAGTCTGCATCAGCATGGACAGAGGGTGTTGGTAGAGAAAGTCAAGGAGAACTTGTAGCCTTAGGCTCCCTTTGTTGTTCCTGACATCAGTGGCCTCAGGCAAGGCCCAAGCAGGCGGCAGAGCACCCCTCTTTGCAGAACAGATCTCGTCTCTCCAGTCATTTCTCCGTGCTCTTGTGGCTTTTTGTCTCTCCAGATATTTCTTCTTCCTTTTGGGAAAGAGAGAGCCTCCCAAACTGTGCTCAGGAGACCAGGGGCCACTCCTGGCAATTCTTGGCCAGTTGGTTCAGTGCAGTGGCCCAAGGATGGGATGGTACACAGGCCCTCCTGTGCTGAGTATGACCCGGGACCCCCAGCCAGTGCTGGGGGCCTCCAGAGCCACTGCCCGCCGTGCTCAGGGGACCATGCAGTGCCGGGATGAGACAGCCGTCAGCCACATACACAGCACACTCGTCAACCCTGTGCCCTTTCTCTCTCTCCCGGCCCAGCACATCTTTGTTCTAAGGCTTTTTGCCTCCCTGAAATCCACTGCCAGCCTCCCCCTCCCCACCCCCATCATAAATAAATAAATAAATAAATAAACCCACAGATGAAACACTCAGCCTCGGGCCACTTCGGGCTTCCCCAAAGAGGAGAGATTCTGGCTTATTCTGAGAAGCATGGTACCGGGTGCTGTGGCGTTGGTCCCATGTTTGAAGAAAGAAATCAAAGCTTCTCCCCTCAGGGCTGGAGTGATAGTACAGCGGGTAAGGGCTTTTGCCTTGCACACGGCTGACCCGGGTTCGATTCCCAGCATCCCATATGGTCTCCTGAGCACTGCCAGGAGTCATTCCTGCGTGCATAAGCCAGAAGGAACCCCTGTGCATCGCTGGGTGTGACCCAAAAAGCAAAAATAGATAAATAAATAAAAAATATCTTGCTCCCCTCATACAGAGAAGATGAGGTGCAGTTCCTCTGGGGAGACCTGGGGTGAGGGAGGAGGAAGCGGATGTGTTGGTGTTCACGGGCCAGAAACTCACCCAGAACTGGGGCCTCACGCCTGGCACCGACTCTGTTGAATCCAGGGCCCACACAGGCCGGCCAAGATGCCCTCCGTGAGGCATCACCAATCCCTCAGTGCCGTCCAGGGAGGGATAAACTTCAGCCAGACCCATATCTGCACGAGCTAAAGTCCTCGGGATTCCTGCACCCGAATTCAGACGAAAATGGGTCGGAATGAGAATACAGTGAACTTACCTTGATGCAGTCTATCCAGGTTCCAACCAGCACCCCGAGCCCTGAGCACAGAGCCAGGAGTAAGCCCTGGGCACCACTGAGTGTGGCCCAAAAAGAAAAAAAAAAGTAGGGGGGTGGAATGATAGTACAGTGGGGAGGGCATTTGCCTTGCACATGGCTGACCTGGGTTCAATCCCCGGCATCCCATATGGTCCCCCAAGCACCGCCAGGAGTAATTCCTGAGCACAGAGCCAGGAGTAATCCCTGAGCATCGCTGGAGGTGACCCAAGAAAGAAAAAAAGAAGAAAAAAAAAAAACCTGAACAAACAAAGCCGGAGCCAGGCAGGGGCCCACAGTCTAAATGGCACATGCTGTGTGAATGAGGACGCCAAGCCCGCCCGGTCCCAGACCTCCCACCGTGTCCACGACCTCATCTTCCTGCTGCAAGCTGAGAACAGCCACTTCCGCTCGTCCCTCCCTCCTTTGCTCCCGTGACTGTGTCCCAGGATTCCTGGGAGCAAAAATCCCTAAACATATGTTTTGCTCACTTGGGACAAACCCCTCGAAACCAAAGCAATTGCTTAAAGGTTTGGAGCACCAGCTTGCGTGCGGGAGGACCACTTCCCGCTTCATCTTCAGCACCCAGGACTCCTCCAGCCCTGCCAGCTGCAGTCCCCAAACTCTGGGCAAGCCCCTGAGCACTGCCAGGTGTACCCCCTAAAAAGAAAAAAAAGCACAATCCTGCATTCCTGGTGGCGTTCAGGAGATCACAAACAGTGCCACTGACAGTTCGGGTCAGCTGCGTGCAAGCGAAGCACCTGCCCTGTTGTACTATAACTCTGGTCCCTATAGTTGTTCTTATACAGAAAAGGATGTGTGTCTTTGTGTGAGACTGGCTGTATCCCTGTCATCCCGTTGTTCATCGAGTCACTCGAGCGGGCGCCAGTAACGTCTCCACTCATCCCAGCCCTGAGATTTTAGCAGCCTCTCCTTACTCGTCCTTCCCAATGCTGCCGTATTGGAGGCTCTTTCTGGGTCAGGGCACTGAGATCCGTTATTGTTACTGGGTTTTTTTTTTGTTTGTTTGTTTGTTTTGTTTTGTTTTGTTTTGCTTTTTGGGTCACACCCGGCGATGCACAGGGTTTACTCCTGGCTCTGCGCTCAGGAATTACCCCTGGCGGTGCTCAGGGGACCATATGGGATGCTGGGAATTGAACCCGGGTCGGCCGCGTGCAAGGCAAACGCCCTACCCGCTGTGCTATTGCTCCAGCCCCTATTGCTACTGTTTTAAGCATATCGAATACACCCCGGGTAGCTTGCCAGTCTCTGCCGCGATTTTTGCGAGTCAGAAATGAGAAACCGAAGGTACCTTATCGTGGGAAATTAGACACAAAAATCCGAAGAAAAGTCTGAGTCTCTCTATTTGGCGTGGCGGGGATGCTGCCTCTCCTGGGGTGAGCATTCAGGAGCGGAACCAAGATCTGGGGCTTGCCCCACCCAGCACGCCCACCAGGGGGAGCTCTGCGCCCTGGGGAAAGAGCTAGTCCTTCTCCCCACGTGGCCGAAGATGCTTGAATTTAGTGATGAGCCTTAGGGCAGTTCTAGAAGCACCCTCCGTGCCCCCCCCCAGCCCCTTCAGGGGGTGCTTGAAAGCTCGTGGGCTACCGGCTGGGGTGACCAAGGTTCCTTCCGCAGATGGCCTTCCGTTCGTGCCGGTCTTTGACAAAACTCTGCCCGTGAAACAGATGCACGTGCTGGAACCGCTGGACCTCCTGATCCTCAGAGCCGACAAAGGTGCTCGCGCCGGGCCCGGTGTCCCCAGGCCATCTGTCCTCTGAGGAGGGCACTGTGGCGGGTGGTGGGGAGGAAGCATCCTTAGATGCCCTCTTGCCCACAGGCAGTTTGGGGGCTCTCTGGAGGCCGGCACCCTCCAGTCCTCACTGCCCTGCTTTTCCTACTGGTCCTCGTGGGTTACCTAACGGGGCACCCCTGCCCTCTCCCCTCCACAGGGAAGGACGCGCGCCTCTTCGTCTTCAGGCTCAGTGCAGTGCAGAGGAGTCTGGAGAGCAAGCAGGGTCTGAGGAGCAAGTGTGACTGCCGGGAGAACAAGCTGGAGAAGACCAGGGGTGACTCCTTCGCCCAGGGGTGGCGGGGACGGGAGGGTCCACCAGTGCGAGCCTCACACTGCCCAGATTTCACCAAGAAACGGTCATGAGGGCAGGAGCAGGGCGGACCGGAGGGAGGGCGTGGTGCTAAGGGCACTGTGTCCAGGAGGAAGATGCAACCGGAAGTCCTGGACTGTGGCCTGAGGCAGTGGGGCTGGTGAGAGGAAAGGAGCAAAGTGGCCAAAGACCACCCTGTTCCGCCCTGTTCTGAGTGGAACAAACTCGGACAGGCATGCAGGGGGATGTGGTGAGCGTCACAGGAAACCCCGAGTCCGACTTGGAGGTCATGGGTTTGGTTGCAGCTTTGAGCCCCACAAACTCAGTCTTCCTAAGGGAAACAGCTCCAGGCCCAGGCACAGGCTCGGGGGATATTAGCCGGGGTCACACAGCTTGTCAGCTGGCCCCGACTCTTTTTTTTTTTTTTTTTTTTTTTTTTTGCTTTTTGGGCACACCCAGCAATGCACAGTGCACAGGGGTTACTGCTGACTTTGCACTCAGGAACTACTCCTGGCGGTGCTTGGGGGACCCTATGGGATGCTGGGACTCGAACCCGGGTCGGCCACGTACAAGGCAAACGCCCTCCCCGCTGTGCTGTTGCTCCAGCCCTTGGCCCTGGGCTCTTCTCTTTCCTCTGTATTTATAACTGCAGCTGAGGTCACGTGTTCATATTGTGGTTTCGATGCATAAACATCCCACCTTCTGGCTCTGGGCTCAGAGATCACTTCTGACGGTTATCGGGGAACCATATGGGATGCCGGGGACCCTACCAGGGTCAGCTGCGAGCAAGGCCAGTGCCTTCCCCGGCGCACTGTTGCACTGACCCCCCAAGGTCTCTCCTAGTGCGCTGTTTCTGCTCCCTCACCCCACGCCCCTACTGCTCAGGTTGTAACCTGCGCCCCAGAGTTTGTCATCATTTGGAAGCTTCTTCTGTGGAAGCCTTGGTTTTGTTTCTGTTCCACCGAAGAGGGGGAGGAAGCTTCTGGGGTTGGTCCTCCCTCCGACTCACTTCATTTAGCTGTTTCCACGCGTGGTGCCAGCTTTGATCTTTCCCATCTCATAAAGGAATGTGCGTGTACCACAAGAGGCTTCTTCCCTGTTTGGGGGTCGCACCCGGCAGTGCTCAGGGCACCCTGTGTGGTGCAGGATTTCCAACTAGAGTTGGCGGCGGGCGTAAAGCAGACGCCTTAGCCCCTGTGCCAGCTTCCATCTCCCACCACAAGCTTATCTTTCACACACCTCTGTCTTGGGCATTTCCATCCTCCCTTACTGCCTGCCCTAGGACTAAGGCCACAAACTCTGGAAGAGGGGCTGGAGCGATAGCGCAGCGGGGAGGGCGTTTGCCTTGCACGCAGCCGACCCGGGTTCGATCCCCGGCATCCCATAGGGTCCCCTGAGCCCTGCCAGGAGTAATTCCTGAGTGCATGAGCCAGGAGTAACCCCTGTGCATCGCTGGGTGTAACCCAAAGGGCCCCCCCAAAAAAAACACAACTGTGTCCCCTTAATTGCACGGTAATGCCACCCGATTTTGCTTTCTTGGTACAAAAGCCAGGTTTCTTCTGTGTTCCCTCACTGGTCCGGGCTCCCCCAGTCCTGGGACTCTTGGTGGGGGTGGGGGTGGGGCTTCCAGACCGCTCGGGCCTCCCACCCAGAACCCTGTCTGCCGCAGGGTGATGTCGTTCCTTCCCCTGCCAGGCTGCCACCTGTATGCCATCAACACCCACCACAGCCGGGAGCTGCGGATCGTCGTGGCCATCCGCAACAAACTGCTGCTCATCACGCGGAAGCCCAGGCCGGGCGCCGGTGTCCTGCTGTCTCCGCCCCTGCCTGAGTCGCCCGTGGAAGAGTTCCAGTACATCAGGGTTCGTGCCCTCTCGCCCCCCAGGGCTTGAGGCCGGGTGGTCGTCCGCTGCGCAGGAGGAGCCGGGGGCCCCACACCTGGGCTCCTCCTTCCCCTGGGACCCAGCAAGCGACTCATTCGTGCCCGGTGTCAGCGGGCTGGTGGCAGCATGTGGGGGCCTGTCCTCTCTGGAGCTGCCCGACAAGGCCGCTGCCACCCCCTTCCTGGTCAGGTCACGTCGTGATTCGGCCTCAGGGCCGAGCCGAGTGTGAGCCGGCCAGGGGACCCGACTGTCCTGATGGGTTCTCTGAGGTGTCCCTGACCCCCTCCTCATGCCATGGGAGGAGGTCAGAGGACAGGACAGGTCTCAGGAGGAGACACCCCCATGCTCCCTGACCCCGGGTTTTCCTGCAGGAGTTGGCGGGGGTGGGGCTGCGGTAGAGACTCGGGGAGTCCTGACGCCTCTCCCACTACCGCCCGCCCGCCCCGTCACCCTCCCACAGGAGATCTGCTTGTCCGACGCACCCGCCGTGATGACGCTGGTGGACGGGGCCGAGTGAGGAGAGCGACAACCTCATCTGTGTGGCTTACCGGCACCAGTTCGACGTGGTGAACGAGAGCACCGGCGAGGCCTTCCGGCTGCACCACGTGGAGGCCAGCAGGGTGAGCGGCCGGGGACCGTCGGCCACTGCCCGTCACACCAGCTCCTCGTGGTGGGGTGCAAGAGCCCTGGGGCTGCCGGGGAGGGCGAGTGGGGGCCGGGGCCGCCTGCTCACCCCGTCCTCCCTTGTCACTGCAGGTTAATTTCGTGGCCGCTATTGACGTGTACGAAGACGGGGAGGCGGGGCTGCTGCTGTGCTACAACTGTGAGTGAGGGGCTGCTCCCGCCCTGGACTTTTCTGGGCCATTCTCCGCCTGCCCGGTGCTCCCTTCAGATCTGCCCTGTGCAGTGCACCTCTCAGATCTACCCTGCATAGTGCTCCTCTCAGGTCTCCCCTGTGCAGTGCTCATTTCAGATATGCCCCGCTCAGTGCTCCCCTCAGATCTGCCCCATGCAGTGCTCCCCTCAAATCTGCCCTGTACAGTGCTCCCCTCAGATCTGCCCAGTGCAGTGCTCCCCTCAGATCTGTTCCTTGCAGTGCTCCTTTCAGATCTGCCCCGTGTGGTGTTCCTCTCAGATCTGCCCCATGTAGTGCTCCCCTCAGATCTGCCTCATGCAGTGCTCCTCTCAAATCTTCCCTGTGCAGTGCTCCCTTCAGATCTGCCCAGCACAGTGCTCCCCTCAGATCTGCCCTGTGTAGTGCTCCCCTCAGATCTGCCCAGTGCAGTGTTCCCCTTAGATCTGCCTCATGCAGTGCTCCCCTCAGATCTGCCCCGTGTGGTGTTCCTCTCAGATCTGCCCCATGTAGTGCTCCCCTCAGATCTGCCTCATGCAGTGCTCCTCTCAAATCTTCCCTGTGCAGTACTCCCTTCAGATCTGCCCAGCACAGTGCTCCCCTCAGATCTGCCCAGTGCAGTGCTCCCCTCAGATCTACCCCGTGCAGTACTCTCCTCAGATCTGCCCCGTGTGGTGTTCCTCTCAGATCTGCCCCGTGTAGTGCTCCTTTCAGATCTGCTCTGCCCCATGTAGTGCTCCCTTCAGATCTGCACTGCACAGTAGTCAAAACCCACCCCAGGACAGGGCCCACCCTCCACCCAGGACCCTGGTGCGGTGTTTGCTCCTTGGCACGTGCGTGGCCTCTGCTGGGGGACAGGGAGGGTTTGGGGCAAACTGAAGGTCCCGGCAGGGTGGGGCGGGGTCTCAGCGTTTCAAATGTGCTTCACTCAGAGATGTTTTATTTTGTGATTTTGTTTTGTTTTGGAGCCACCCTGAGCGGTGCTCAAGGCTTAGTCCTGGCTCAGGGATCACTCTTGGTGAGGCTTTGGGGAGCACGGGAGGTGTCGAGGCTTGAACCCAGGTTAGCTGTGTGCAAGGCAAGTGCCCGACTTGCTGTACTACCTCTCTGGCCCCTAAGAGGGATCTTTCAAAGGCTAAAAAGATGGAAGGTGTTTTTCTGGTCTTTTTTTGGGGGGCTTTTTGGGTCACACCCAGTGATGCTCAGGGCTTCCTCCTAGCTCTGCACTCAGGAATTACTCCTGGCAGTGCTCGGGGGGGGGGGGGGGGGGACCATATGGGATGCTGGGAATCTAACCCGAGTCGGCAGCGTGCAAGGCAAACGCCCTACCCGCTGGGCTATCACTCCGGCCCCGGAGGTGTCTTTCGGATGGGGCTGCCCAGTCTAATGAAAACAACGAGACGTTTGTCCTCGGTCTGGAACTGTTCAGCTTTCCTGTGGCTTTTCTCAGCTTCACTGGGCAGCCTTGACCCATCCCAGCTTTCCATCATGAGGAGGGAAGTGGGGTTAGGGGGAGATTTGCCAAAACTTTGCTTTGGTGCATGTGAGAAAACCAATTCTCAGGGCCAGATCTGCTCGGCAAGACGTCTTAATCTTTCAAGCCCAGGTGTGTGGTGGGTGGTGAGAGAAAGGGGTCTCTTCGGGCACATGTGGTTCTGCGGCGGGATTTTACCCAGAGTCTGGCCGAAGCTTCCTCAAAGTAGCGGGTCCCCCGGCACCCACTCGGTCGGGGTAACAGCCACAGGCCACCTGGCTCTGAGATGGTTCCCATACTCTGCCCTAGAGGGGGGTTTCCTATTGCATGTCGTTCATCTGCGAACGGTTTTGCTCACGGCAGGGCCCATCTGTGAGCAAAACCTGTGGCTTCGGGCTCCTCCCTGTAACTGTGTGAAAGGCTGGGTGGGATCTCAGGAAATAACAGGTAGGAACAGAGAAAGAGAACAAGATTTTTTTTTTTCTTATGTTTTGTTGTTTTGTTTGGGGACCACTTTTGGTGGTGCTTGGGGCTTACTCCTGGCTCTGCAATGAGGGGTCTGCCCTGACAGGCTTGCGGGACCATAGCAGGGGCCGGAGATCCAGCCGTGCAAGGCAGACGCCCTGCCGGCTGCACTCGGCCCCAGAGAGGGATTCTACAAGGGAGTCACCAACCGCCCTCAGAACCTGGGCACCGGAGTGAGTGCCATCAAGTCTAAGACAGATGCTACTTCCCTTCTGGAGCAGGAATCTGCATCTGTTCTCTGTCAGCTTTCTCCCAGCTCCTGGGAACAATCCCCCCACAAAAAAGCTGGTCACCGCAGCCCTGGGTCGGCTGGCAGCTCAGACTCATGCACGGGGGACACTGCACCCCGCCCCCAATGTGTGCAGGGCCGCCGAGACAACGCTGCCCACTGCTCCACTATTAAACGGAACAATAGTGCTTTGAAACTCAGAATTTTTTTTTTTCCCGGAAGGGGAAAAAAACCTTTTGTTTGGCTTTTAAGGCCACGCCTGGCTGGGCTCAGGGTCACTCTTGGTCATTCTTGACAGTTGCTGTGGGGACCAGGCGGTGCCTGGGTCAAACCCCACATGTAAAGCCTGAACATTCACCCTTGGAGTCATCTCCCAGCCCCCAAGAATGTTTATCTAAATACTTGACAGATAAAAGTTTTATAATAGAGGTTGTAACCGCTTGTCATGTTTTTCTTGGTTGTACTTGCAAGCTACTGGAGAGGGAAGGTGTAAATAGTTTGAATTGTTGATGACGTTTTTATGTCCGTCTTTTTTTTTCCTTTTTGGGTCACACCCGGCAATTCACAGGGGTCACTCCTGGCTCATGCACTCAGGAATTACTCCTGGCAGTGCTTGGGGGGACCATATGGGATGCTGGGAATCGAACCCGAGTCGGCCGCGTGCAAGGCAAACGCCCTCCCCACTGTGCTATCGCTCCAGCTCCTGTGTTCATCTTGAATGCCAGTGTTGACTTAAAGAAATAGGAGTTGGGGCCAGAGTGATAACACAGCATGCACGGCCAATCCAGGTTCGATCCCTAGCATCCCATAGGGCCCCCCAAGCACCGCCAGGAGTAACAACTGAGTCCAGAGCCAGGAGTAACCCCTGAGCACCACTGGGTGCGACCCAAAAAGTGGGGAGGGGGAGTAGGGATCGGAGTGGTAGTACAGCAGCAGGAGACTTTTTCTCTTAAACACAGCAGACCCGGGTTCAATCCCCAGCAGCAGACGGATCCCCTGAACCACTAGGAATGATTCCTGAGCGCACAGTTCTGGTCTCTCCCCACCCACCCACCCACCCACCCAAAAAAAAGACAGATTTGGCTGCAAACCTCGCACCCAGCATAACTCACCTTTACTGTACGTCACATAGGGCACTCACCTTCACACCTCCACCCTGCAGGGTCCTCCCTGAGGTGTTGGAGGAGCTCACCTCAGCGCCCTGCACCCTGGGGCAGTCCCACCCGCCTCACAGGGCAGCCTCTCCACGGTCCCAGGGCAGCCTCTCCAGATGAGTCACGAGACTGCTGTGGTGAGGACTCAGAGATCACACCTGTGACAGCCCCCAGGGCTCCCCCCCGGACTGCACCTTGTCTCCACTTCATCCAGACACAGAAGCCAGTTTTTCCACCTCCCAGGAACTCTGCCATGCACATTGATGGCCTTTTCTTCAGAAAACTTTGAATTTCCAGTGAAAACGGCCCGGTTCCCCTGATCTTCGCCCGCAGCTTGGGGAAGACCCTCAGAGCCCGGCCGGCCTGGCCATTCCCCCACTGTGGACCATCCTCGTGCCAGCCTGGGGCAGCTCGGAGGCCAGCTGTGGGGCGGCAGTGAGCACCACACCTGGTGGGCTAGGAGTGGCCCCTTCAGATCTGGGGCTCAGAGAGCATCGGGGGCCGCCCCATGCATCACTAGGTCTGGCGCCCCCTCAGGGACCAGCACTCATGGTGTGGGGGAGGCAGTCCTACCCTTCTCTGGGCTCTGACGGAGTGGGGGGGTGCTGTGCTATTGGGGTGTGTGGGAGGAGCTCTGCGCTAGAGGGAGGATTCTCCCCCCGCCCCCAGCCTCTGTAAGCTTCTTGCTACAGGCCACTCTGCCCAGGCTGGGATGGGGCCCACCCAGCTGCACTCGGGACACCTCAGCCCCAGTGAGTGGAGACATGCTGGCTACAGGGCAGGCGGGCGTCATGGTTCCCTGAGCAGGACAAGGGGGACACAGCCAGGAGAGCCTCAGCCTCCGCCTCCTGAGCTGATGTCTCGGTCAGGTACCACCAGCATCCCAGCCAGGGACGCAGACGGGGGCCCCAGAGGTCGTGTTGTGGGTATTACAGGTCAGCCCTGGAATGTTCCAGGGGCCCCGGCATGCCCAGAGTAGCCACAGCAGAGTGAGGGAAGGGGCGAGTGCCTTGGAAACGGCTTCATAGCAAGGAGCAAGTCCTGAAGACTGGGGTGATGGGATGTAGAGGGGGGTCTTTGGAGTTTGATGGGGACCACACCCAGGAGGCCTCATATAAGACCCAAGCTTTGCTGCTGTCAAGAGCAAGCTTCCAGGGGCTGGAGTGATAGAACAGTGGGTAAGGCATTTGCCTTGCACGCTGCCGACCTGAGTTTGAATCCCAGCATCCCATATGGGCCCCTGAGCACCGCCAGGGGTAATTCCTGAGTGCAAAGCCAGGAATAAACCCTGAGCATTGCCAGCCAGGTGTGACCCAAAAAGCAAAAAAAAAAAAAAAAGCGAACTTCCAGCTGAAGCCAAAAATGGAGACGCCCCCCTCCCCCCACAGAAGGGAGACATAGAGTTTGGGTGAGGCAAGAGACAGAACTGGGGGTGCAGAGTGACCATGTCGTAGATCCTCTCTTGAAAGCATGAGGGGGCCCCAACAGCCCCCACAAACCTGAGTCAGATCCCTGGACCCCACAACAGTGTATAAGCCCTATTCACAGGGAGACAGCAAAGAGAAAGCGGGTAGACTTTTTTTTTTTCTTTTTGGGTCACACCCAGCAATGCTCAGGAGTTATTCCTGGCTCTGCACTCAGGAATCACTCATGGTGGTGCTTGGGGGACCATATGGGATGCTGGGAATCGAACCCGGGTCGGCCACGTGCAAGGCAAAGGCCCTCCCCGCTGTGCTATCACTCCAGCCCCAACGGGTACACTTTTTAAATTAAAAAAAATTTAAGTCATGCCAGAGCAATAGTATAGCGGGTAGGGCATTTGCCTTGCATGCTGCTAACCTGGGTTCGACCCCCGGCATCCCATATGGTCCCCCGAGCACCTCCAGGAGTGATTCCTGAGTGCAGGGCCAGGAGTAACCCCTGAACATCGCTGGGTATGACCCAAAAAACAAAAACAAAAAATAATTTAAGTCTTTGGGCTGAGGAGACAGCTCAATGGGCTGAAGCACAAACTTTGTATGCGGGAGCCCCCAACCTCATCCCTAGCACCGCATGGTCCCCTGAGCACTGCCCCAAAGGAATTGGGTTGGAATGCGTCACTGCTCCCTGGATCTCCAGGGGAGACAGCCATCTGCTGATGCTCAAGCGTGGGGCTCAGAGAAGGAGCCACGGGAGGGCAGTACCCTGGGAGTGGCAAACGCATGAGCTACGTTTAGAGTTGAGTCCTCAAAGGAGATCTGGAAGCAGGGAGTAGAGGGCCGGAATGACAGCACAGCATGGAGGGCATTTGCCTGGCAGGCAGCTGATCCAGGTTCCATCCCCGGCATCCCATAGGGTCCCCTGAGCACCGCCAGGAGTGATTCCCAAGTCAGAGCCAGGAGGAACCCCTGAGCATCGCTGGGTATGACCAAAAAAAGCAAAAAAAAAAAAAAAAAAAAGCAGGGAGTGGAGCCAGTAGTATTGGGGTTGAGGCCTTGCATGCTGCCAACCCAGGATCGATTCCTGGCACTCCATATGTTCCCTGGAACCCACAAGACTGATCCCTGAGCCGAGAGCCTGGAGTAAGCCAACGTTTTCCGTTGTGAGCCAAAAAACAAATCCAAAAAAGCAGATATGGGGGTGAAAGGGAAGGCTACATCTCCATCTCCCACGACTCGCCCAGCTGAGTGGACAGAGTGGTGATGGCCCCTGTCCTGCACTCCTGCCCCTGCAGAGCTCCAGCCCACCCATAAGCCTGGCACACAGCAGGCAGTGCCTTTGTTCTCGTCACCCCATTTTTCTTTTCAATGGCCGACACCCGCCTATGAGGTGCCACTTCCGTCTCCCTGCAGACAGCTGCATCTATAAGAAGGTTTGTCCCTTGAATGCCGGCTCTCTTCTGGTGCAGCCCTCGGCGTCCGATTTCCAGTTCTGCTGGAACCAGGCTCCTTATGCGATCGGTAAGCAAACCCCGTGTCCCCACACGCTTGGCCCCAGAGATGCGACCAGGCTCCATCCTTAGCCAGCCAACTCGCTAGCACTAGGGAACCGGGAACTCGGCATGTGGGCGACTCTTGGGCATCAGGGCATCTCTGGGCCTTGCTTGACTTTTTCAAACGTTCCCCCCAAGATCCCTGGCCTGAAAGGGCTGACCGTCTCTGGGGAGAAGTACTGCGCACCCAGCTCTGCTCTTGCATCCTGGAACTTTTTGTGGGGGTCCTTGGAAATGGAGAATTGTCATAGAAGCTCAGGGGTTTTGTCTGTCATCCACATGGCAATGCACCTGGGCCCGGGGTTGGTGGCTGTTCAGGATCTACTCCGGAGGCCCCAGGAATGTAGCGATCCCCCCACCCTGCAGACAGACCCCCATGGCTTATCCCAGCCGAAGGGAAGCATTCTCAGAGCACTCACAGGAGCCCGGGTTGGGCAAAATCCTCTAAGCCAAATCCCATTTCACTGTGACTGTGGGGGGGAATTCATGTGCCAAGTTCCTGCTGAGTTCCTGCTGGGCTGGAAGGGCAGAGCAGTGTGGGGGGTGGAGAGTTCCTCCCCACCCCGACAGCTGCTGCCCACCCAAAATCCCGAGGGAGGATAGGAGAGAGGCCTGCCCCAGCCAGGGAAGTGAGCAAGATGCAAAATGCCCCAGGGGGCAGGAAGCAGCCTGGCAGTTCAGTGGTCTTCCAGGCCTGTGCCCACCCAACTTGGGTTGATGCCCATCATCACTTGGGTCCCAAGCATCGCTGGGTGCGGCCCTGGAGGCTCCCCAGCCTGCCAGGGTCCAAGCAGCACCGCGACCTCTAGCCCTTGAATTAAATCACTGCCCTGTTGGCTGAGAACGGCCACCGGGGCCCTCAGGCCTCCTGAGCGCCACTTGGACAGCCCCCCAAAATAAATTTATTGACAGAAAGCCCAGCACTGTGTGTGTGGAGTCCCTAGCTCTTTTGCACCCTCGTCATCTTGAAAATTTGTCTGTGGGGCGACAGGCTGTGCCTCATGCGGTAGCGGGCTGGAGTCGGCCAGAGTCGGGGGCGGAGTCAGCCCAGAGTCGGGGGCGGAGTCTTCAGGGTTGGGGGCGGAGTCGGCCCAGAGACGGGGGCGGAGTCAACCCAGAGTCAGGGGTGGGGTCAGCCCAGAGTCGGGGGCGGAGTCAGCCCAGAGTCAGGGGCGGAGTCTTCAGAGTCAGGGGCGGAGTCTTCAGAGTCGGGGGCAGAGTCGGCCCAGAGTCAGGGGCGGAGTCTTCAGAGTCAGGGGCGGAGTCTTCAGAGTAGGGGGCGGAGTCGGCCCAGGGCGGAGTTGGTCAGAGTCAGGGGCGGAGTCTGCCAGAGTTGGCCCAGAGACGGGGGCGGAGTCTTCGGAGTAGGGGGCGGAGTCGGCCCAGAGTCAGGGGCGGAGTTGGTCAGAGTCAGGGGCGGAGTCTGCCAGAGTCGGCCCAGAGACGGGGGCGGAGTCAGCCCAGAGTCAGGGGTGGAGTCTGCCCAGAGTTAGGGGCGGAGTCGGCCCAGAATAGGGGGCGGAGTCTGCCCAGAGTCAGGGAGGGGCGGAGTCTTCAGAGTCAGGGGCGGAGTCAGCCCAGAGTCAGGGGCGGAGTCTGCCCGGAGCTGGGGGCGGAGTCTGAACAGAGTGTGAGGGGCAATGAGGGTGCCGACTGGATTCTGTCCAGAGATGGGGGCCTGGAGTCTTCCCAGAGTCCCAGAGTCGAGGGCCTGGAGTCGTCCCAGAGTCGGGTGTGGGGGCTGCTCAGGCCTCGGTGCCAGAGACTGGTTTCCAGGTCCTGAGCCTCCTCCCTGGGAGGTGGAGGCTGGAGTCCAGGGGTGGCCCAGGAGAGTGCTCACCGGGAGCACAGGGGCTCACTGTGGTGCCCGGAAGTCATTGGGTGAGAAAGAGGGACTTCAAGAGAGGGACCCGTCTTGAACTGAGACCCCAGCCACTCACCGAGGCCGAGCCATGGTGAGGGAAAGCGGGGATGGGCCAGCGCCCCTGTCTGGACGGGCCCGACAGAGAGGAGGGGGCTCGTGGCAGAAGGGGAGAGTCAGTGGCCGGGCGAGGGGCGAGGGGCAGATGCAAAGGAGAGGCCGCGTCCAGCAGAGGTGGACGGTTCAGGAGGGATGGTCAGGGCCCAGCTCCTCATGCCTGGTGACTTTGGGGTCCAGGAAGGGAGGCCGTAAGGAGCAAAGGACCTCAGGGTCAGGGACTGGACCCCTGAAGCAAGGAGAGCTGCTGTCAGAGGAAGGAGGTGGGAAAGTTTCTGGGAAAGCCAGCCGCCTACTTGCGGTGGTGCTGACTGGCCCTTCCCCTGCAGTGTGTGCGTTCCCCTACCTCCTGGCCTTCACCCCCGACTCCATGGAGATCCGGCTGGTGGTGAACGGGAACCTGGTCCACACGGCCGTGGTGCCCCAGCTGCAGCTCCTGGCCTCCAGGGTGAGTTCGACCCTCCCCGGGGCTCAGCGTGGATGCGCCACTGAATAGGGCCACAGATGCCAACCCCAGGACAAGGCCCTGAAGCCTCCGGGCAGCACCCCCCCCCCCTTGTCAGAGAGTCGATGGTGTTGAACTGGCCCCAGGCAGCACCCCCCAGAGGGCAAGGTCTGCCACCCCCAACCTTCCCACTTCCTGTCCCCTCGCTGACCATTCACGTAGGGTGACACTGACTAACCAGGCCTATGGCATGGGAGCTACACCCAGGGGAGCAGGAAGGGCCTGGACCCCCCCCCCCCCACCGGAGTCAGCCCCCCACAGGCCATGTGGTTCCCGCCTCTAAGCCAGTCCCTGCTGCATCTGCTGGTACTGGTGCCAGTCAATGTATATCACGGTGGGGCACCCTTGGACCCCACAGCCTGGGAGAGCAGGGGCTGCCAACTGTGTTCCAGTAAGTGTTTGAGCGCCCTCTCCCCTGCAGGGTGTGTGTATGTGTCTGGTATGTATGGTGTGTATGGAGTATGGGAATATGTGGGTCTGTCTGTGTGTAGTATACATGGTATATGGTGGTGATTAAGTGATGTGATATGTGTGGTGTGTGAGTATATGTGTGTGTCTTTGAGGTATATGTGGTGTGTGAGTGTGTATGCATATATCTGTATATGGTGTGTGTGTGTGTGGTGTGTGTAACTGAATCTGTGGTGTGAATGTGTGTGTGTGTGTATCTGTAGGTGCGTGTGTGATGAGCGAGTGTGCGGTATGTAAGTGTATATGTGTATTATCCATGTGGTGTGTGTAACTACCTGTGCGGTGTGAGTGTATATGCGTCTGTGGTGTGTGTGATGAGTGCGCGATGTGGTGTTGTGTGTCCATAAGCTCACTCTGCGGCGTGACTAGTCCATGTGATGGATTTAGTCTCCAGAGCGACACCCCGGAGTAGCTTCTGTGGGTGCCCAGTAGCGTCTGTTCGCTGTCCTTGCTGTTCCCCACTGGGCAGCACCGAGAGTGACTGTTGCACAGTAACTGGAAGGGCCGAGAGGTGCTTTCTAGAACCTTTGGTCTCTAGGGTTTATTTACATTGTCTTTAACAGACAGCTTGTTGCGTCCCTGAAAACAGGGTCCTGTACCGCGAACAAAAGTCCTGCCATTCTGCCCGAGGCCACGGGAGGGCATACTGGGCACACCCGTGTAGAGTTGGTGGAAGGTGACCCTTGTCCCCTTCCGAACCCAGCATTGGGGCAGCCCTGGGTGTGGGGAATCGCCCCTTCTGATCTCTGTGAACGGAGAGGAGGAAGAACGGGGTAGGGGTGGGGGGGGGGCGGTTCACCTGTGGGGGGTGGTGTCTTTCCTCCAGAAGCCCCTCCCGGGCTCGGCCCTGCCCTGCTCTGCCCTGCGCCCTGAGGAAGAGCTTCTGGAAGCTTCCAGGCCCTGTCCCAGGCCATGGCCAAGGGCACCTGGCCACAGGGCCCAGATCGTGGCAGCTGAGTCCTTTCTCTTTCTTTCTTTCAGTCGGACATATACTTCACAGCCACCTCAGCGGCCAATGAGGTCTCGTCCGCAGGCAGCTCCAAGGGGACCAGCGCCCACAATTCTCCCCAGACTCCCCCAGGCCGGGATGCTCCCGTGTTTCCTTCTTCCCTGGGGGAAGGTGAGGCCCGGTTCTGACCGGCTTAGCAACATGTCTCCAAGCCCCGTCCAACCTCCCCGGCTTCCTTCTCAGAGTCGCCAGTTAAACCCTCGCAAGCGCACACCTGCCGCTTCCTTAAGCGGCCCTGCAAGCACAGCCGTCCCCACTGGGGGGAATGTGGCGGGAAGGGTGTGACCCCCACAGCCCAGCTCCGGCTGGCTCCCTGCAGCAGTCCCACAGTCCTTAACTGTGTCTATATGGAGCCCTAAGCCACAGGCTCGTTAGAAAAGGGCGGGGGGTTCAACCAGCAACACTGACACCTTGGGGTGTGTAACACCGGTGGCTCACACTTGAATGTGCCGCGCTGGTGTCAATCTGCTAACTCTCCCTTTAGCTACGGAGGTGGAGGACCCCAGCCGGTACGCTCATAAGCAACTTCCCATCCAGCCCTGACGTCGTTGCCTCAATCATTTCCCAGGTGAAACTCAGTCCAGAAATCTGTACAAGATTCCTCTCCGCAACCTCGTGGGCAGGAGCATCGAGCGGCCCCTGAAGTCGCCGTTGGTGACCAAGGTCATCACCCCACCCACCTCCATCGGCCTCGGCATCGCCGCCATTCCCGTCACACATTCCTTATCCCTGTCCCGCATGGAGATCAAGGAAATCGCCAGCAGGACCCGCCGGGAGCTGCTAGGTACCAGCGCCGTGTCTGTCTCGCCGTTTACAAACCCACCACCAGCCGTGTTGCAGGGTGCCCAGCCCCCTCGCCGGGAGTCGGGAAAGGACCAATCACCCACACCCACCCAGGGATCCCCTCTGAGGTGCCCGCCACCAGTGGGTGTGCCCACCCGCAGGAAAGCCACCTGGGCATGTTTCGGAAGAAAGGCAGTTTGTAGGGCCAGAGAAGAGTGCAGAGGGGAAGGCGTTTGCCCTGCATGAAGCCAACCTGGGTTTGATCCTGGGCATCCCATCTGGTCCCCCGAGCACTGCCAGGAGTAGTTCCTCAGTGAAGAGCCAGGGGTAAGCCCTGAGCATCACTGGGTGTGACCCAAAAAGAAAAAGAAAAAAGACAGTTGGTAAAAGTCTGATCTGAGACAGATTTTTGGTGTTGGGGGCCACACCCAGGGACGCTCAGGGCTTACGCCTGGGTCTGCACTCAGGAATTGTTCCTGGAAGTTCTCTGGGTATCATATGGGATGCCAGGGATTGAACCCAGGTTCGCAGCATACAAGGCAAGGCAAGTGCCGTACCTGCCGTACTAGCTCTCTGACCCCTGAGGCAAATTTTTTAAAATTTGTTTTCTGGTTTCGGCGGGGTGAGGTTGTTTCGAAGGAGAGAGCAGTTGGGCCACACAGCAGTGCTCAGGATTGAAATCGGGCCGCGTGCAAGGCAAGCTGTATATTACCTATATACTAGCTATATACTACCCTAAGCTACCTCTCTAGCCCTGAGACAACATTTTTAAAACATAAGTAGCTATACTGATACTTTCTTCTAGAAGTATCAGGAAGGGTTTTCCTCATGCAGGTCTCAGGGCGCATTGCCCAGTTGCAAAGCGGAAGGGCCCACTCCCCCAGAATGTACAAGTCAGGTATCACTTCCTAAAGCCCCCAACACAAGTTGTCCCCCTTCCTCTCAATATGCCAGAGAAACAGGAAGTATCCGATCCCCGTTAAAGCACTCCCATGAAGCTGTTTTAGAATCACAAAAACCAAGTGAAGACAAGCAGAAGTGACATCTTACATCAGCACAAGCTGGTTTGAAAACTCTTTAATGGGAAGCCCTGGCTTGAGACCGCCAGAGTGGTGGATCTGAGTCAGCCCCTGACCCGAAGGAATATTCAAGAACCACTCGTTAAGGGCACTGGGACCTCTGAAGGCGGGGTGGGGAGCCAGAGGGGGACACAAGAGTTTTGAAAGGATGCATGGTGCTGTTTTGTCTTATTGCAGGGGAGGGTGATTGGGCCACATCCAGCAGTACTCAGGGCTTACTCCTGGCTCTGTGCTCAGGGGTCTCCTGGCAGTTCTTGGCATGCCAGGGATCAAACCCGGGTCAGCTGCATGCAAGGCACATGCCCTGCTGCTGTGCAGTTGAACCCTCTGGCCCTGTGCTCTCGGAAACTCACCTGCTACGTTGCAGAATTGCCAGTTCTGGGGATCGGATTGCAGATTTTCTCCTTCTTTGTCAGCATCTTTCAGATCACTATTGTTTTGTCCTTTCCTTTGTCATTCCACCTATTAATTTATCACCAGAAAGAAATCTCCCACCAGCAAGAAAATCCCTTCCTGGGACCAAGGAGATAGTACTGTGGGTAGAGCACTTGCTTGTACAGTGACCCGGGTTGGATCCCCGGGCTTCCATATGATCTCCCAAGAACCACCAGGAGTAATTCCTGAATGCAGAGCCAGTAGCATCGATCTTCCTGGACATCATCGGGATGGCCCCCAAACCAATAATTATAATAAAACCAGGAACTGTGGGGCTGGAGAGATAGTACAGCAGGTGCAACTTGCTTTACATGGAGCTGATCCAGGTTTGATCCTTGGCATCTCATATGGTCCCTGGGCACCACTAGGAGTGATTGCCAAATGCATAGCCAGAAGTGACCCGTCAGCATCGCCAGGTGGGGCCCAAAATTAAAAAAACATAAAGAAAAGATAAAGAAAATCCCTTATTTATAAAACGGATATTTCAGCATCTCTTTTAGTTTGTTTTTGTCTGGGGGCCCCACTGGGTGATGCTCAGGGCTTATTCCTGGTTCTGTGCTGAAGAAACACTCCTGGTGGGGTTCAAGGGCCCATAGGAAGTGCCAGGGATTGAACCCAGGTCCACTGCATGCCAAGCAGGCACCTTAACCAGCTATACTGTCTCTCTGGCCCAGCATCTCTCTTTTTGACTTGTTTTGACTCTTCTCCGAGAATTCACTGCCACATAGACCGAGAATGGGCATGTGGGGATCTGCCTGCCCCCGGCAGCTCTGTGGGCCTGGCCTCTGACCCCCGATCCTCCCCCTACCACCAGGCCTCTCTGAGGAAGGTGGACCCCGACCAGAAGGTGCTCCCAAGGCCAAGTCCAAAGCCCGGAAGCGGTTGGAAGAAAGTCAAGGAGTCCCCAAGCCAGCGACCGTGAGGTCAACGAGCAGTGACAGGTAATGGGGGGCAGCCCAAGTCCCAGTACTGCGCCCCCAGGCCCACTCTGCTGCTGCTGAGCCCTTAGGCTGGCCCTTCTGAGGGTCAGCGTGCAGCTCCAGGCTGACCAGAAGTTTCAGAAAGCGGAAGTGCTCAGAGAGTGGGGGGCAGTAGGTGATCTGGAGGGATACAGAGATGATGACCCCAAGGTATCAGGCGGGATGGGGATTCCACATGAGGGATGCCGTGCACCCCACATCAGGCATGGGGGGGATTACAGGGATCAGGGAAGGCTCCGGAATCACGTCTCCTAAGCCAGCACTTTCCAATGGTTGGTCCAAGGACCAGTGCCAGCCCGTGGGTGGGAAAAGCACAAACCACCAACCCAGACACCGGAAATCTGAGCCTGGCTCAGAGCGTGGGGCCCACAGTCACACTACATTTGATTCCTCCTGTTTCTGCTCGGGCCACCACAGGTGGCGGCTGCCCTCCTGCGTGGGCATCCTGAGAGATAAGGGGAGGGAGATGGCTCTCACGCCCGTAGGGGACCATCAGCAAGTGGGCAGAGCCTGGGGCCGAGAGGTGTTTATCTTGAGGAACAGTCCTCGCACTGTTTGGGGACCACCAGGACTACGTGGGCAGTTTCAAGGGGAGGCATTTGGTGCCAGGGATCGAGCCAGGCCTCACACAGCCTAAGCCGGTGCTGGACCCGATGAGCACTTGGGGAATGGTTCCCCTGATTTCATTGACTATCAAGAGAGTGTCCTGGGGCCTGGGGAGTGGGGGGTGGGGGCAGGGGTTGGAGCCACAGTCCAGCGGGAAGGGTATTTGCCTTGCACATGGCCAACCTGGGTTCCATCCCCATCATCCCATATGGTCCCCGGAGCACCACCAGGAGAAATGGCTGAGTGAAGAAGAGCCAGGAGGAACCCCTGAGCATCGCCGGATGTGGCCCCCAAACAAAATAAAACAAAAAAGCCGAGCTCGAGGGGGTCAGCCTAGCCAGGGCACGGGCAGGAACTCTGGGCACTCTCCAGAGTGGAGAAGCAGGCCTAGGGCTTCAGTGCCCAGATTCCGTGTCGCCCCCTCGCAAACAGGTCTGATGCGTGCTGTTAATCCTCACCGCCACCCGTGAGGTAGGGCTGTCTGGTGCATCTGGGGCATGGGTTGGGGGTGTCCCGAGGTCTCCCCATCTCCTTGGGGCAGGGCAGGCAGTTGTGCGCTCAGAGAAACAAAAACATACCGGAAAGAACCAGCCAGAGTGATTCGGCCTCACTTCATCTTTGGTTTTTCTCTTCCAGGGTCGCTCCAGTCCCCTTGGATAGTCCCCCTGCGGCCGAGGCCCCTCCCGAGGCCCTGGTCCTCGCAACAGGCTCCGAGCAGGAGCAGGGGGGCGGCGGGGTGGGCAGCCCAGGGTGGGGCGGGAGCCCCTTTCAGCTGGCCGCAGCCTCTGAGGAAGACACGATTGACCTGAAGTGAAGAGCTGTTCCCCGCGCCTCGCCCTCCTTCCTGGGGCCTTGCCTCCTGCACGGACGGACGCCGCCGTTTCTCTAATGTGGCTATGGGTCCATCTGTGCTCTGGGCCAGCCCCCGGCAGCACTCAAGGTGCAGGTCGCCCGCCGGTGCCCAGTGCGTCGCTCGCGGCCTCTCTTCCCCGTCCAGGAGCGCCCATCGTCCACCCCCCCATCACCAAGATGGTCGATTTCATTGAGGTTTTAGAGCGAAACTTTGAATAAATCGAAAAAAATGTTCCTTCTTACTGCAACCTTTCTCTTCTCTTTTATATTCTGAGATAGGAGAGTGTTGTTCCTGCATTTTCGTGACTCCAGATGCTTGGCAAAGAAAAGCCGTTGCTTGGGGGCTGGAGCAATAGCACAGCGGGGAGGGCGTGTTTGCCTTGCACGCGGCTGACCTGGGTTCGATTCCCGGCATCCCATAAGGTCCCCCTAGCACCGCCAGGAGTAATTCCTGAGTGCAGAGCCAGGAGGAAGCCCTGAGTATCGCTGGGGGTGACCTAAAAAGAAAAGAAAAGAAAAGCCATTGCTGCTGGGAATTAGCTCTCTCTTGGCTTTGGCCTTCAGCTACCCCTGTACCTGGCAGTCGGCCCCAGCTGCCTTCCATCCCGTGAACTTGGGGGGAGTTATGCTCTTTCCCGTTTCCTTGCAGCACCCCTGTTCTCACTCTGCTGCTTGCCATGCCCTCTCCCTATGGAGGAGGAAAACACACTCAGGAAACAGCTGGACCCCATCCTCACTGAAAGTGTTCAGGGCTGGAGCGATAGCACAACGGGTAGGGCTTTTACCTTGTACGCAGCAGACCTGAGTTCGATTCCCAGCATCCCATATGGTCCCCCGAGCACCGCCGGGAGTAATTCCTGAGTGCAGAGCCAGGACTAACCCCTGTGTATCGCTGGGTGTGACCCAAAAGAAAACAAACAAACACTGTCCTCCTGTTGTTCATTGATTTGCTCGAGCGGGCCCAGTAACGTCTCCATTTTTGAGACTTTGTTGTTACTGTGTTTGGCATATTGAATACGTCACGGGGAGCTTTGCTAGGCTTTGCCGTGCGGGTGGGACACTCTCGGTAGCTTGCCAGGCTCTCCGAGAGGGGCGGAGGAATCAAACACCGCTCAGCAAGGATGACTGCGTGCAAGGCAAATGCCCTACCGCTGTGCTATCGCTCCAGCCCCAAAAAGAGAAAGAAAAAAAAATGTGTTCAGGGTTGGAACTGGAGCCATACTACACAGCAGGGAGGGAATTTGCCTTGCATGCAGCCAACCCAGGTTCTATTCTCAGCATCCCATATGGTCTCATACGGTCCCCCAAGCACCGCCAGGAGTAATTCCTGAGTAAAGAGTCCGGAGTAATCCTGACCATTTCTAGGTGTGACCCAAAAACAAACAAAAACAAAAGTGTTGAGAATGCGGTTGTGCTCGCCTCTTTCCAAACAGGCCGACCAAGACTCAGAGAGGGGCAGTGACTGAGCCTGTGCATCTTTCATCCCTAAGTTTTGCTCTCAGAGTCAGGCCAAGGACCGTGGGCCTAGTCGATCTGGAGGATGCTTTCCATGCTAAATATTTTGGGTTTTTTTTTTCTGCTTTTTGGGTCACACCCGGCGATGCACAGGGGTTATTCCTGGCTCATGCACTCAGGAATTACTCCTGGCGGTGCTCAGGGGACCATTTGGGATGCTGGGAATCGAACCCGGATTGGCTGTGTGCAAGGCAAACACCCTACCCGCTGTGCTATCGCTCCAGCCCCTCCATGCTAAGTATTTTGTAAGCTTAATTAGTATCAAGTCCACATGGCAGAGCCTGGCAAGCTCCCTGTGGCATATTATATGCCAAAAATAGTAACAGTAAGTCTCACAATGGAGACATTACTGGTGCCCACTCAAGCAAATCGATGAACAATGGGAGGACAGTGCTACAGTGCTACAATGCAATCGGCTTCTATCCATCCCTTTCCCGTCATCTGCTTTCCTCCTGGTGTCTCTTGTTTCTCAACCTACAGTAGAAAAAACAAGATTAGAACATTCTTCCAAAGAGCATCAAGGCCACCTGTGATTTGACGTTACAGAGCTGAGAACTGAAAGTGGAAAAGACATAATAAGTTCATCCCTACTATGTAGACTAATGGTGCTTTGCTCTTTGTAACTTTTGTTTTGTTTTGGGGTCACACAAAGTAACTCCTGGGACTGGAGCGATAGCACAGCAGCACAGCGGGTAGGACATTTGCCTTGCATGCAGCCAACCCAGTTTCGATCCCCGGCATCCCAAATGGTCCCCTGAGCACTGCCAGAAGTAATTCCTGAGTGCAGAGCCAGAAGTAACCCCTGTGCAATGCCAGGTATGCGCCAAAAATGCAAATAAATAAATAACTTCTTTGCTCAGGGATTACTCAGGAATCACTCCTGGCAGTGCTCAGGGGACCATCTGGGATGCCAAGGGTTGAACCTGGGTCAGCTGTTTGCAAGACAAGCTCCCTGCCTGCTGTACTATCTCTCCAGCCCTACTTATGTTTCTATTTTAAGGGGGTGAAGCGGAGGCAAGGAGATAACCCAATAGGTGAAGCTCATACTTTGTATTGCAGGAGGCTCAGGTTCAAGCCCTGGCACCACTCACCCCCCGAGCACTGCCAGGAGTGACTCCCCTAAAGCCAGAAATAGCTCCTGAGATTATAGGTCTGGCCCCAAAACCAAAAAAAAAAAAAATGGGTGTCGCCATCCAGCGATGTCTGCGTCCCCTGGTGCATTTGGGATCAATCGTTGTTATCCAGGTGATGGACGGAAGAACAGGTCACAGGCTAATGGCCAACAACTTGATCGAAACCAAACAGGGCTAATGCAGAGAAAGAGAAACTGTGCTCCCCGTGGGGGCGTAGGGACAGAATGGGAAATAATGCAGTTAACAGATCGGGGAAAGTAAAACGCAGAGGAGAAGTTAGGCATAAACACAGAATTGAAAATGCCCTGGGGAACTGGGTATGCTCCGGGAGCACTGTGGCGGGTGTGACAGTGATAAGTACCATAAACTCTCTGCAAGGGAGAAAAGACAACCCACAGTCGAGACTGAGCTGCTTGGAACCTTGGAAGTGCAAATGATTCCCTTACAGATAATGGGGAGACAGCGCCCCCTTTGTTGTTGTCCTTCCCCATCTCTGAAGAGGTGTCTCCAAAGTCCTCTCCCCTGGAGAACCCCCGAGGAATACTCAACAGGGTGGCACCCTCCAGATGGTTCTGGAACAATGCCAGTAGGGGATCCAGAGTAGGGGTGAGAGGCTCTGGCAGCCAAACCTGCTTACAAAGCCCTAGAAGAGCGCATTGTACACACAAGGGGAGAGTGCCCGCTGGCCAGAGGGTGCTGGTTCAGGAGGCTCGGAGGACTCCCAGGAGCATCCTGTCTACAGTGGCTGCTCTGCAGTGGCCTCTCTGCATGGCGACTGGGCAGAGTCACAGTCTTAGCCTGCTCCCTCAGGAGTTTGCCCTTGATGAGCAGGGTCAGTCCCAGCAGACACAAGCCCGTGGGGCAGTCTGCAGGCAGAGGTCACGTGCACTGAGGGATGGTAGAAGTAAGCAGGTCACAAAGCAATGGTATGTGCTGTGATAAGGGTTTATAGCCCCAGTCCCTCGTGCCTGGAAGGCTAGAGGAGCAGTTGCCTAAGTCTTTGAGATGACCATCAGGTGACAGTACTAGGTCAAACGACCGGGAATTCCATCCCTGGCACCCCACAGGGGGACCCAAGCCATCAGGAGTGAGCCCTCTGTGCAGAGCCAGGAGTAAGCCCTAAACACCACTGGGTGTGCCAGCCCACCCCACACAAACACACAAAAAAAATGCTGGGGCCAGAGCGATAGTACAGCAGGGAAGGCCCTTGCCTTGCATGTGGCTAACCTGGGATCTAACCCCTGGCACCCCATATGGCCTCCTGAGTACCACCAAGAGTGATCTCTGTGCATACAGGAGGAGTAAGCACTGAGCACCACTAGGTGCGCCCCCCCCCAAAAAAAAAACCCACAAATAATGAAACCAAAAAATAATTTGCAGGGGACTCTGAGTCAAGTGACTGTAGAATGAAGTTTCAGGGTTCTCTATCAAGTGATGGGAGAGCAGGGAGTTTAGGGCCCAGATCAACACCACCTCACAGCACTGGTCGTCAGGATTAGGATGCCCTTGATGTCGACTCTAAAGCCGTCAGCAATCTTTGGGTGCCCGAGTAGGGGCGGGCATGGCGAGGGAGTGCCCCCTCTCTGTCCAGATGGAGTACGGGGATAAATTAGGCCTCCAAGAGGAAAAGGAAGCAACCGGGACAGGGTTTTGTGTGCGTGTGTGCGTGTGCCTCAGAGACCTGGACCCTACGAAAACGGGATGAGAATGCTATTCGGGTCTCTCAAAGAGGAATCGAAAGAACTATGCTTGGAATATCACAATTCACTCAAATGAGAGAAAGAACCCGGAGTTCCGACATCCGTCGATGCTCAAGAATCAGGGACGTTGTCTCGTTTGCCAAGGTGTCAAAAATCAGATGGGCTGGACACGTAATGAGGTTTACAGACAACCGCTGGACTAGAGCAATTACTGATTGGATTCCACGGGACATCAAAAGATCACGTGGACGCCCACCTACAAGATGGTCTGACTTCTTCGTCAAGACCCTAAATGATCGGTTTGAGGTTCTGCATGTTCCTAGAACGAACAGATACCATTGGGTTACGCTAGCACGCAACCGGGATGAATGGAGACGTTACTGGCACCCGCTCGAGTAAATCGATGAATAACGGGGATTAAGTGATTAAGTGATTAAGTGTGTGGGTTTTGGGTTTGGTTTTCGTTTGGCTTTTGTTTGTTTGTTTTTTGTTTATTTGTTGAGACCTTCTTCCCCGCTACTCTCAATGGGAAGAGCTGGGCCAGACTCCAACTAAAGCTCCAAGACAGCGGTTACCGCGGATCAGGAACACACAAGGTAAACACTGCCAGTTAAATCCTGGACAACCCCCCTTCCACCCCACGTGCTCCGGCCTCTCACGCTCCAATTCCCATTGGCTGGAGCCAGATTAACACTCCGCCGCGGATGTCAATACCATCCCCGCCTTGCACCGTCATTGGCTGGCTCGTCTACGGCCGCGCCCCCGGACCCCGCCTCCGAGATCGCACCCGACTCCGATTGGATGGCGGTGCCCGAGGCCGTTCATTGGACAGCTCTGTCCTAAGGGCGTTTCCTCGCTGGCAGCTTCTTGGCTGACATTGGTCGAGACTGACCGAAGGGTCGGCCTCCGGCCCCGCCCCATTGGCGTCCCCATTGGCGGCGGCTCCGCTTCGATCCCGCCCCTGGAGCGGACCCGAGCCGCCGATTGGCGGATCCTGCTCGGGGGTTGGCGGGGGGCGGGGCGGGAGGCCGGTGGCGGCGCACTCGCGGGGCCGACCCGCGGCGGTTCGGGCGTCAGAGCGGACCGAGCAAGCGTTGGCTGCCGACATGTCGCCGGACGAGCCCGAGGAGGCCCGGCCGCTCCTGGGGCGGCCCGGCGGCAGGTGAGCGGGCGCGGGCAGCGGAGGCGCCGCCCGGCCGGGCCCCGGGCCCCGGGCCCCGCGCCCCGCGCCCCGGCCCGGCGCCGCTCACCCCCCGGCCCTGTCCCCGCAGCGCTCCGGCTCCCCGCGGCCGCCGCGTCTTCCTCGCCGCCTTCGCCGCCGCCCTGGGCCCGCTCAGCTTCGGCTACGCGCTCGGCTACAGCTCCCCGGCCATCCCGAGCCTGCGACGCGCCGCGCCCCCGGCCCCGCGCCTGGACCCGGACGCCGCCTCCTGGTTCGGGGTGAGACCCCCCCTCCTCCTCTTCCTCCTCCTCCTCTTCCTCCTCTTCCTCCTCCTCCTCCTCCTCCTCTTCTTCCTCCTCTTCCTCCTCCTCCTCTTCCTCCTCCCCCCCCACCCGGGACCCCCCACGCGCGCGCCGGGACCCGCAGCCCCGCCGTGGCTCACCCGGACGGCAGGCTCGGGTGGCAGGTGGTGGTGGTGGTGGTGGTGGCGGGGGGGGGGGGGGGGGGCGTCTGGACCTGGAACCTGGCGCCCCCCCTGCTCAGCAGCACCCCCCACCCCCCAGGCCATCGTGACCCTGGGCGCCGCCGCGGGGGGCGTGCTGGGCGGCTGGATGCTGGACCGCGCCGGGCGCAAGCTGAGCCTCCTCCTCTGCACCGTGCCCTTCGCGGTGGGCTTCGCCGTCATCACCGCCGCCCAGGACGTGTGGATGCTCTTCGCCGGCCGCCTCCTCACCGGCCTGGCCTGCGGCATCGCCTCGCTCGTGGCCCCGGTGAGCGTTCGTGTCCGCCCCCCCCCCCCCCAATCACCTGCCTGGCACCGCTGCGACTTAGGGGATAAAAGGAATGTCAGGCTGCAGGAACCCCGCACCTTCCCCACCGCGGTCCTCACCCCACGGGGGTCTCTGCTGAGGTTGCTGCTGCTCCTCCTTCCCTGTAGTCCTTTGCCCCCACGCCCCCCCCCCAGCCCTCCTGCTGCTGTTGCAAATAAGAGAGCACCTCCGAAGGACCCTGCTTTGCAGGCTGCCAACCCAGGTTAGAGCCCCAGCACCCCCAGGAGTGAGCCCTGAGCCAGGTGTGGCCACAAAACCAAACCAAACTAAAGACACAAAAGATGGCATTCTGGGGGCTGGAGTGATAGCACAGCGGGTAGGGCGTTTGCCTTGCACATGGCCAATCCGGGTTCGGTTCCCAGCATCCCACATCCCTGAGCACTGCCAGGAGTAATTCCTGAGTGCAGAGCCAGGAGTAACCCCTGGGCATTGCCAGGTGTGACCCAAAAAGCAAAAAAAAAAAAAAAGGAAGATGGCATTCTGCAGGTGAGCCATGGAAGCCCACAAGGTTTCTGCCCACCCCCAGCAGTGCAGACCCCTGGGTTCTCCCGAGGGTAAAGACCATACCTCTGCAGTGCTCCTGACCTGCACGTCCACACTCCCAGCTCTGCCTCAGTTTCCTCTCCTGTCTGTAGTGGTGACGGTCTCAGCTGGGGTGGCGGTTGTGAGGGAGAGTGAACCCTCCCGTCTCGTGGTTGATGGAAGGAAGTGGTGCCGGCTTCAGGGCGCGGGGTGACTGACTGACGGTCTCCACCCACAGCCTGGCCTGGTAGAAGCAGAGATAAGGGCTCAGTGGGGGCTTCTGGGACAGCACAGTCCCCTCCCACCCATCACATCGGGTTCCTAGACAGCACGAAGCAGCACAACCGGAGTTTTCATCTTTGCTTTTTATTAACTTGGCACAGAAATTGCCTCATTATGGGGCTGGAACGGGTAGGGTGCTTGCTTTGCACGTGGCTGACCTGGGTTCAATCCCTGGCACCCCATATGGTCTTCCAAGCACTGCCAGTAGTGATCCCTGAGCCCAGAGCTGAGAGTAACCCCTGGGCACTGACAGGTATTACCATTACCCCCCCCCCAAAAAAAACCTGTCCTCCCATTGTTATCGATTTGCTCAAGCAGGTACCAGTAACATCTCACAACAAATTGTGAAACTTGTTACTGTTTTTGGCATATCAAATACATCACGGGGAGCTTGCCAGGCTTTGCCGTGCAGGCGAGATACTCTTTGGTAGCTTGCCGGGCTCTCTGAGAGGGGCAGAGAAATCGAACCCTGGTTGGCCGCGTGCACGGCAAACACTCTACCCGTTGTGCTATCGCTCCAGCGCCCCCTCCCCCCCAAAAAAGAAATTGCCGGGCCAGAGCAATAGGACAGAGGATAGTGCACTGACCTTGCACGTGGCCAGCCCAGATTCCATCCATCCCCGGCACCCCATAGGGTCCCCCAAGCACCGCAAGGAGTAACCCCCTGAGCATCGCCAGGTGTGGCCCCAAACAAAAGTTGCCCCCTTAGGCCTGGGCACAGGTGTGAATCACCTGGACTGAGAGCTGCATCCTGGGGGCCCCTTTACCCCTCAGCAGAGGGAGTTCTGCTTTTCACTCCAAGGGTGCCCCTGAAAGTGTGGTCCTGGAGCTAGCAGGCTGGGGTCCCCAGGACCCAGGGTGGCAGAGCCTGCCCATCCCGCCTGACCCTGTTTCCCCAGCGGCACCCAGGGGCCTGGGGTGGATACAGACAGATCCCTGTGCCCCTCGGCGGCAGCCCCCCACATGCTCTGGGGCACTGTCGGCTCTGCAGGCTTGGGTGGGCCTGGGTGTGCGGTTGGTGGGGAGTGGGGGGTGATCTCATGGCTCTGGGGTGGTGGCGGCTCGGTTTGAACCGGGAAGTGCAGCTCAGATCTCTTCCCTGGCGCAGGTCTACATCTCGGAGATCGCCTACCCGGCCGTGCGGGGCCTGCTCGGCTCCTGCGTGCAGCTCATGGTGGTCGTCGGCATCCTCCTGGCCTACCTGGCAGGTCTGCCCTCCCCGTGTCCCCTCAGGCCTCCTGCTTCCGTCCGCGTGACCTTGTAGAGCTGGAGACCTTGGCTTCAGGGAGGTCGGGGCTGGCCTGCGGTCACACTGCAGCGGCCGGGTGCCAGGGCCCAGCCCAGCTGTGGGGGTGTGGTCCCGGGACTTGAATTCCGGTGCTGTCCTCATCTTGGGGGGTTCGGTCCCTAACTCCCTGGACAGCGACAGACCCGGTGCTAGAGGTGAGCAGGGCACATTCCGGACTTGAGCCTAGGAGTTTGGAGGCCCTTTGCATGCACACCCAGAAACATGGGGACTGGCTTTACAGCCCCTGACAAGACCCCAGGGCTGAGGGTCGAGCAGGGAAGCTTCCAGAGCTAGACCCGTTCCTACCAGAACTGTCCGTGGGCGGAGCACATGCTTCGCATGGTTGAGAACTGGGCTTGGTCCCCAGGGCCACAAGGTGTCCCGGGGACCAGCCAGGAGTAGCCCCAAGCACCAGCAGCATGAGCTCAAAAGAGCACAGAAGCAAACTAACCGGGCTGGAGCGATAGCACAGCAGGGAGGGCGTTTGCCTTGCACACGGCCGACCCGGTTCAAGTCACAGCATCCCATATGGTCCCCCGAGCACCACCAGGAGCGATTCCTGAGTGCATGAGCCAGTCCTGAGCATCGCCAGGTGTGACCCAAAAAGGGGAAAAAAAAAAAAAAACGTAAACTAACCTTCCCAGGCCAGCCTCCAGCAGGAGCCACACTTTGTCCCTGGGCAGGTGACACCATGCATGAAGCTCAGGACCAGGAGGGACGGACAGGAGGGTCCCGGGCTGCCCTGCTCAGCTCCGAACGCCCTCCCCCGCAGGCTGGGCCCTGGAGTGGCGCTGGCTGGCCGTGCTGGGCTGCGTACCCCCCGCCTGCATGCTGGTGCTGATGTGCTTCATGCCCGAGACGCCCCGCTTCCTGCTGACCCAGCACAAGCGCCAGGAGGCCGCGGCCGCCCTGCAGTTCCTCTGGGGCACCGAGCAGCTGTGGGAAGAGCCCCCCGTTGAGGCTGAGCGCCAGGTGAATGGGGAACACAGTGAGGCGCCACAGCTCACTCGAGCCCACGAGGCACCAGATGGAATGGGTGGCGGGAAAGGAGGGAATGGCGGGGGACAGCGCTCCCGGTGGGGGCACGTCCACTGCCACGCCTCCCCACCCCTGCCTGCAAAAGGGCCGCGTGGCCCTGCCCGCCAGCGCTGCTGTGGCCTCCTGGAGCTCGGACCGTTTGCCCACGTAACCGTTGGGATGCCCCAGCCAGTCAGGCCGTGGCCAGGGCAGGCGAGGGGCTCCCCTGCGCCGGGGATGGCGGGGACCCCCATGGGTGCCTGTGTGCGGGCCAGGGCCAGGCCTGGGAGGGTGGGGTCGGTGAGGGAAGGCCTCAGCGCCCCGTCCGCCTCCAGGGCTTCCGCCTGGCCCAGCTGAAGCAGCCGGGCGTGTACAAGCCCTTCGCCATTGGCGTGGCCCTCATGGCCTTCCAGCAGCTCTCGGGCATCAACGCCGTCATGTTCTATGCAGAAACCATCTTTGAGGAAGCCAAGTTCAAGGTAGAGTGAGGCCGGGCGTGGCGTGGGCCTGGGGGTGATGGCTGGTCCTGACCCACCTCGCCCCACACCGCCCCACCCGGCCTGCAGGACAGCAGCCTGGCCTCGGTGGTCGTGGGCATCATCCAGGTGCTGTTCACGGCCTTGGCAGCCCTCATCATGGACCGAGCCGGCCGGAAGCTGCTGCTGGCTCTGTCAGGTGAGCCCCTGTCGCCCCACCACCCCCGGTCTTCAGGGGGGCCCTGTTATATAGAGAGTACAGTCCAACCCCACGGCCTTCAGGAGCACTTTGCCTCTCTGGGAAGTTGGGGGGTGGTCATGGTGGGCCCTCATGAGGGTCAGGGGAGACCCTGCTGAGCCGCCGAGCCGTGTGCTGTGGGCCCTGGCCAGGACACCTCTGCTCCTTGCAGCTGCGCAGGGGTGAGGGGGTGCGCGCGCCCTGCCCAGTGCTCTGTGCCCGCAGGCGTGGTGATGGTGTTCAGCACTGGGGCCTTCGGCGCCTACTTCAAGCTCACGCAGGGCGGCCCCAGCAACTCGTCACACGTGGCCCTGCTGGCTCCCATCCACGAGGCATCTGGTGACACCACCATGGGGCTGGCCTGGCTGGCAGTGGGCAGCATGTGCCTCTTCATCGCTGGTGAGTGGGGGCCCCTGGGGACCACCCCAGGCTTTCCCTGCCTGCGGCCCCCCTCCAGCCAGGCTCCCTCTAGCTTCTCCCTTGATGCCCACCCTCCTGCTGTCCCATCCCTGGGGCCCAGGGCACAGAGCCCGCGGCCCCCCTAGCCGTGAGCCCCGCTTGCTCCCCAGGCTTCGCCGTGGGCTGGGGCCCCATCCCCTGGCTCCTCATGTCCGAGATCTTCCCGCTGCACGTCAAGGGGGTGGCCACCGGCGTCTGCGTCCTCACCAACTGGCTCATGGCCTTCCTGGTGACCAAAGAGTTCAGTAACCTCATGGTGAGTGGCCCCAGTTCAAGGGGGGGGAGGGAGGTGGGCGGGGGGCGTGTGTTCCCCACCATTGTCGGGCCCCGGTGGGGGTCAGCTTGCCTGCCTCCCCGCTGGCCCTGGGGATGAGCTCCGCAGTGCCGTGGCCCTTCTCTGCTGTGTGGCTTCGGATCTGGCCACCTGCCCTGCTCCAGCTTCTCGCCTGAGACTGGAGTGCCACCTTCTCAGGGGCGCCTGGCACAGAGTCCGGGGGTCAGTCCTGGAGCAGGGCCGGCGATGTGGTCAGTGCTGGCCCCCCAGACCACTGCACTGTGAACGGGGGGCACCTCCCCTTTATGACCAGCAGTGGGACGCTTGGCAGGACCAGAGGCCGGTGGAGGCAGTTCCTGGGGTGGCAGGGGTCAGTGGGGAGGCCATGGGGGCATGGCCACAGGCAGGAGTAGGGCCTGACCTGGTGGCCTCCTGTCCACTCCACAGCAAGTCCTCCAGCCCTATGGCGCCTTCTGGCTGGCCTCCGCCTTCTGCACCCTCAGTGTCCTCTTCACCCTGTTCTGCGTCCCCGAAACCAAGGGAAGGACTTTGGAGCAAATCACAGCTCACTTTGAGGGCCGGTGACAGCTGCTCTGGAAAGTGGCTGCCCTCCCGGCGGGGCTGGCTTTGGGCTCTGGTGGGACAGAGCCCAGCTGGGACTCCAGGCTGGCCCCCTGCTGGCCCTGAAGCTCCCGGGGAAGAGGGATCCAGGGTGGCCGCCCCTGGGATCCTTGTCCTGGGACTCCTCCTTCCCGCCCAGCCAACGCCACAAGGCGCCAGGCCCGTGACCACCCCCTGCCAAGAGCAGGAAGCGTGTGGGACGGCCTGGCTCAGCCTTCGCGCTGATGCTCTGGGCCCAGTGCAGGCACCGTCTGGCCGCACTGCCGGAGGTTCCGGACACAGCTTCTCCCCCAGGCTGTGTTATCTGGAAGGAACATTGGTTGCCAAATAAACATCTGCCTCCGAGCACAGCCCCAGCCTCTGTGTGTGAGATGTGTGAGCGTGGAGGAAGACACCCCGTGTACTCTCCCCACAAACTCTCTAATGGTACTCAGGCCATCTTTGTGCATCATTGATCATCAAATCTGGGTGATTGGTTGGCTTTGGGGTTTTTTTTTTCCAGGCCTTTCTTTTTCTGGAGCTAGAGAAATTGTCCAGGGTCAGGCCAAAACTGGTTTGATCCCCAGCATGGTGTATGGTCTCCTGAGCACTGCCTGATGTGGCCCCCAAATCAAAATCAATCAAGATTTCTGCTTTAAGGGAGTTGGACATTTTGGGCCAATTACTATTTTTCATCTGTCACTGTCATTGTCCTCCCGTTGTTCATCGATTTGCTCGAGCAGGCCCAGTAACGTCTCTTTTGTGAGATTTGTTGTTACTGTGTTTGGCATATTGAATATGTCATGGTAGCTTGCCAGGCTTTGCCGTGCGGGCGAGATACTCTCAGTAGCTTGCCGGGCTCTCCGAGAGGGGCAGAGGAATTGAACCCGGCTCGGCCGAGCTGGCTGTGCGCAAGGCAAACGCCTCACCTCTGTGCTATCACTCCAGCCCTTATTTTTCATCTGACACTGTCACTGACACTGTCCCCCCGTTGTTCATCGATTTGCTCGAGCGGGCCCAGTAACGTCTCCATTGGAGACTTTGTTGTTACTGTGTTTGGCATATCGAATACGTCACGGGGAGCTTGCCATGCTCTGCCATGAGGGCGAGATACTGTTGGTAGCTTGCCAGGCTCTCTGAGAGGGGCAGAGGAATCGAACTCGGGTCGGCTGCGTGCAAGGCAAACGCCCTACCGCTGTGCTATCGCTCTAGCCCATTTTTCATCTAATATAGTTAATACATGTTTACTATAGAATAAAGCCCAGATTCATTTAAAATAGAATTTTTTTTGCTTTTTGGGCCACATCCATTGATGCTCATGGATTATTCCTGGCTCTGTGTTCAAGGCTTACTCTTGGCTCTGCATCCAGGGACCATATGCAATGCCAGGGATCAAACCCAGGTCTGCTACGTGCAAGTCAAACACCTTCCCTGCTCTGGCCCCTAAAATAATTATTTTTCATGGTAGTCAACCAGCTGCTGGGCACAGGCCCAAACACACTATAGACATCAGTCCCAGTATTTGGAGAAGCAATAAAGTGGTCACAGTTGTATCTTTTTTTGGCATGGGGCACACCTGGTGATGCTCAGGGGTTACTCCTGGCAGTGCTCAGGCAGCCATATGGGATGCTCACAATCAGACACCTTCCGGCTGCACTCTCTCCAGCCCCAGTCACCACTGTGTCTTGTAACCTCCTTACAAGTTAGTTCTGTCGGGTCGGAGACACGGCACTGAATGCTCTCTTGCACGTGGCCGACCCAGGTGTGATCTTTGGCACCACCTGGTCCCTTGAACACCATCCCGGAAGATCTGTCTCACAATCCCCCGTGTCCTCGCCTGGCTACACACAAGCAGATGCCTCCTGCCCAGTTCTCACTGGTGTCCCCCAACCTGGCCCCACACTGCACAACTCCCAGCGTGTCCCCCTGCCCGTGGTGACATCTTCTACGTCTTAGACTGGCGATGGGGGACAGGTGTCCGACAGAGGCCCCAAATCCCACGCAGAACAGCTTTTAGATCAGGCAAAATCCCAAATCTAATCTGGATGGAGGGGACAGCCAGGGGAGGGACAGGCTAGAGGCCACCCAGTCAGCAGCTCGCGGCCTTTCTCCTCTCCACTGTGCTGGCTGCAGGGAGCCCCTTCAGGCCCGGGGCTCTCCCTCCTGTGACCTCACCGACTGCCTGTCAGTAACCGCGGAGCAGACAGGGCTGGTGCAGCTGCGTCTCTCCTTGTGTTACCAGCTTCACTTCCGGCCCAGAGGCTGGGACTGGGCCTGTGGGCATTTCCGGTGGTCACGTTCCCCTGAGTGTCTTGTCCTTGACTGCGTCAAGTGACCTCCTTTCTCCCTGGGAAGCGTCCCTCATTCTGACCTCTGCTTTGGTGCCTGTACTGCCACTCCAGCTTTCTCTGGATGTTCCTTCTCTATTTTTAATTTTTACTTTATTTTTTTGGCTTTTTGGGTCACACCTGGTGAGGCACAGGGGACCATATGAGATGCTGGGAATCGAACCCGGGTCGGCCGTGTGCAAGGCAAACGCCCTACCCGCTGTGCTATTGCTCCAGCCCCTGGATGTTCCTTCTCTTTTAACTTAACGTTTTCCCTTCATCGAGGGGCCCTAGGTTACAGCAGTATTAAAGTCACTATTCCATACTTACAGAACCTCCACCCCATCCACCAGTGTGTCCAGTTCCCTCTACCACTGCGCCACGACCCCGGCCCCACCCCAGCCTCCTACACTCCTGATTCTATTGATCATGTCCCCAGGTTTGTTCCCATCAGGGTGAACAACATTTATCAATCCACCTCCCTGTTCCTCTCCTGCAGTGCCCTGGTGTTTCTTTTTTTTCTTTTTGCTTTTTGGGTCAACCCAGCGATGCTCAGGGGTTATTCCTGACTCTGCACTCAGGACTTATTCCTGGCGGTGCTTGGGGGGACCACATGGGATGCTGGGGATGGAACCTGGGTCAGCTGTATGCAAGGCGAACACCCTACCCGCTGTGCTGTTGCTCCAGCCCCTCTCAGTGTTTCTTTTGGATGGAATTCACCCCTTTTAGTGTCTCTTCTACCTAGTTTTACCTTTAAAAGATCAACTTTATTTTGGCATTATTTACCTGCAGGAGCGATAGCACAGCGGGTAGGGCGTTCGCCTTACAAGCGGCCAACATGGCCGACCCGAGTTCGATTCCTCCGCCCCTCTCGGAGAGCCCGGCAAGCTACCGAGAGTATTCGATATGCCAGACACAGTAACAACAAAGTCTCCAATGGAGACGTTACTGGGCCCGCTCGAGCAAATCGACGATCAACGGGAGGGCCTTTACCTTTACCTTACCTGCAGGAAACTGCGTCAGCTCCACAACCCGGAGACAGGACGTGGCATCACTCCAGTGGCCTGCTATGCCCCTGGCAGCCCCTCTCCCCACTCTATGGCCCTAGTCACCAGTGTAAGGTCACTTATCTCCACAGTCACCACAGCGTTGGGGGTTCCATCCCCATGGTGACTGCGGTGTTGGGGGTACTGTCCCCACAGTCACTGCAGCATCGGGGATCCCGTCACCACAATCACTGCAGCGTTAGGGGCTCCGTTCCCATTGTGGCACCTTTTCTGAGTTCTCGTTTCCTTGTGAAACTTCTTCCACTTAGCCGAGTGGTTTCAGTCACAATCACCCAGTGCATCTGGCGACATTTGCTTGTCTCGACGTTGGGGTTAGTTCTATTTTCGCTATTATGGAGAAAGCCGCTTGTTTGGCTACGGTGTTGTTGTTTTGGCTCTGCTCAAAGCTCAGTGGAGGTACTCGGGGGAGCATGAGGTGCGGGCACCTGGGCCCCCCCCACCACACACGTGTTCTAGAAAAAGCACAGAAACAACCGTGTAGAGAAGAAGGGCTTTCCTGGCAATGAAACAGCTGATGCTGGGAAGTATGTCCACCAGCATGGGCTGGAGAATTATTTCAAACAACTTCAAAGAAAGCAGAAGCTGGCTGGAGCGATAGCACAGCAGGTAGAGTGTTTGCCTCGCACATGGCCGACCCAGGTTCAGTCCCCAGCATCCCATATGGTCCCCCGAGCACCGCCAGGAGCAATACCTGAGTGCAGAGCCAGGAGTAACCCCTGTGCATCGCTGGGTGTGACCCAAAAAGAAAAAAAAAAAGAAAGAAAGCAGAAGACCTGTTTTTTTTCTCAGCAGAGATAGAGCGGCATAACGGCTTACATTTATCTAGTCTAGTGGTTTTTCCAGGAAACTTATACATATTCATGAAGGAGACCGGTGAGCATGCACAACTGAGGAACATACAAAGAACATACATCACATGTACAGAAAATAGCAATATCATCGGGAGTAGCACTGTCCTCTACTCCCGTTGTTCATCGATTTTTGCTCAAGCGGGCACCAGTAATGTCTCCATTGTGACACTTGTTACTGTTTTTTGGCATATCGAATATGCCACGGGGAGCTTGCCAGGCTCTGCCGTGCGGGCGGGATACTCTTAGTAGCTTGCCAGGCTTTCTGAAAGGGGCAGAGGACTCGAACCCAGGTTGACCATGTGCAAGGCAAACACCCTACCTGCTGTGCTATGTTTTTTAATTCAATTTACTGGGGGGGAGGGACACACCCAGTTCTGCTCAGGGGCTAGTCTGGCTCTGTGTTCAGAGGTCACTCCTGGTGGTGGTATACTTGGGGATCATCTGTAGTGACAGGGATCAAACTGAGGTCAGTCAGGTGCAAGTACCCCACCCACTGTCCTATCCCTCCAGTCCTCAGTACTGTTTCGAGTACTGTTATGAAGAGCAAGGAGGCTCCGGTCCAAAGTCCTTCCTACTGTGTGTCTCCACTGACCGGTACTGTCCAGCCAGGCCCTGAGCTCTTTATCAGCTCAGTGATCTTAAAATTCTTTGACCCAATCAGAGCCAGTAGAATGCTACAGGGCAGCTTCTCCCAGGGAAGTCACACCCTACCAGCCTCGGGCCAACTACAAGCCTCAGACCCATCTGTTTCAGCTTTCTCTAACTCCAGAGAGTCCTAAATTTTCTCAGGGAAGGCCGTGGGGGCACGGCTTTGTGGGAACTGTTAGAGCCCAGAAACATGTCACATGCTCCTTTGTTCTCTCAACCTGCATGACTGTGTGTCACAAAGTGTGTGTGTGTGTGTGTGTGTGTGTGTGTGTGTGTGTGTGTGTGTCCCTGTTGCGACACACACACTGGCTCATTCCAAGAAGACATGGGTCCCATGGGTCAGGACTCGACATCACTGCGCTGATGGCGTCTGTTCCGCAGTCTGCAAATACAGAGGTGATAGCAACCCCGAGGCAAAGGAGAGGACGGAGTCAGGAGGCCCAG